CATTGAAAAGAAAATGTATTCAACTACTAAAAATGATGGGAAGCTACTCATCTAAACGGCTGTTAACCTAATCCATCTGGTTATTCTAATGATCTGTGTCCTGTCTGGAGTGGTGTAGGTGTGTGTGGCTAGGCTAGGGTAGGCCGACACGTGGCTTTTTCCGCGCCGCGCATGCAAAACCACACACTCGGGCACACCGAGGCCGTACCCGCCGCTCTCCAAAAATGTAATGTGAGCGGTTGTGAAAAGTATGACTGGTGTAGTCACACGCGATTACGGCGAGCGGCTCCGTGGACGGACACCCGTACCAGATGCGGCGGGCGCCTTGGGCTCGGAGGCATCACTGCGAGGGGAAAAGCCAGCACGGGGAAATAAGCACCTGTCATGTGCCAACTGAAGTGTTAAGTGCACAAATTGTGGAGGCGAGGCTGATGTTTCCGCGGGGGTGACAGCTCGGGGTCTGGGTGCCATGTCAGGGCCCGGCATATCATGCCGAGCCCCTCTCCCCCCCCCAGCTCTCCCAGCTTGGCGCTTGCTGAGGGGCACAATGGCAACTATTATTTACTGGATGTCTGCTTCATTTCCTCATATTCATCCTGGCTGGCCTTCACAGGGCAGCAGGCGGGGGGGTGTGCTGGTCTTCTCCCCTCCCCTTGTGTCATTGCTGAGGGGCAGCGGTGGCAAAACAATCTCTGAAGAGCACTTAGATCATTTATTTAGAGCGCCGGGTGTCAGCCGCAAACCAAATAGCCCTTATTTTGTGCGTTGGGGTTATCCGCTTGTGCCTTTTCCCTTCAGGTCGGACGTGAACGCAATGCAAGCGGTGGGGGTTCCATCGGGCGGCGTGTCAGAGGTCCTCTACCCAAACAGACGATGATGCCATGCGACGGTACTTCTGCGGACAGTGTGAAACTGCAAAACGTTAGGTAGATTAAGCGTGCCGGGGGGGCTTCTGGGCTGTGAAGTGGCGCGGCTGGTTGCGGGCATTTGTTGTGACCGCGGCTATTTAGGATCACGGGAGCTGACAGCGCGCTACTGGCAGCCATAGCGGGCCAGATTTATCTGGCTGTTGTGAACCAGCGAACACCAGTCCCAGTGCCAGGGAGAAACACGGGACTTTCAGGGGTACATCAACCCAGGGTTTTGCTCACAGAGAACAACTGAGCTCCAGTATGGTGGCTCTGACCTGGAAGTACATTTCCTCTCACACATTCACCCGTTGTCAAGCTGTGGGCCGCTGACACGTTAAAGCATGTTAATATCTGGATATCTTGGGAGATAAGAAGAAGGCAGGAAGTCGTTTGGAGCTGATGGTTTCTAGGTGCTGAAATAACAACGAAGGCCCGTAGATCCACACACGGTTCGAGGCGACTGAAACCCATGTGAACCAAAAGAGGACAGGCAGTTTTGTTTTTGTCTTTGCTGCCCCCCACAGTGCATCTTCTGTCACCATGGTGGAGCAGAGCCTCCACAATGCCGAAACATAGTGGGACACGAGTGGACACACCGAAAGTATCATGAGATGTTTCAGTAGTTTGTCTTTGACCTTTTTAATAAAATATACAGTGTTTTTTTCATGAATTTACACACTATTTACACATGGCATAGAGGAAGAATTGCTGCGTTCCTCTCCGCCTGAAGGTTTGAGTGTTGCTTCCATCTGCTGGAAGACCAAAATAGCTGCAGCCCGGGTTTTTTAAAAATGCCGGTAAAGAAAAATGTGGCGATCAAGAGTTGTCCAAGTCTACAACGATCCACTATTTGTTTGCTGTGGTGCTTTGGTGTACCAGAGCCAGCGACCTCTTGGCCAGAAGATGAACTTTCAGGGCATGGATCTGTTCCAGTTTCAGTGGAATGCCTTCAGAATCTGATATTTTTTTTTATAATAAAAGATGTTTAGCATTTTGATTAGTTTGGGATGGAATTTGAAACTAATTGAAATCCCTTTAGTATATAATGCAACATATATATAAAATTAAACTGATGAATACAGATTAAAATATGCATATTAATTTTATTCTATACTGATAAAAATGAAAATACGTATCTTTGTTTGTGTATTGATACGAATAAATAAGTATATGAAGTATAAAATCAAATAAATATAACATAAACTAAGAGTCCTTGCTGTGAGTACCACACCAATATTTCTTTGTTTTTACTCCTCCATATTTTGGATGGTACTTCTTTGATAATTTGCTCCTGTTTCACTGATACGTTTATGGGGAATGACAACCAGACTCGAGGTGAACAGATCCTTTGAGCAACATTTCTCAAGCTAGTCCTTCTTACATTTAGCTGTATTTTCTGAGCACTTAGTGACATAACATCTTTTAAGACGTGCAATGTTTTGGTTATTCCATTAATGCAATTTACCATTGACAATCCTAACCTGTTACAACTATGAATGTGTACATTTGCCTTCCAACTCTTCCTAATGTCCATCTTTTCCTTAAACATCCCTATGTCCAGCGGGGGGTTCACATGTCTGCCTGATGGGCTTTTACAGAAGGCTACTCCAGGTGGTTGAGTGGGAGTCAGAGTGCCGTGAGCTCCAGCGGTGAGCTCAGATGGAGCTGTTTGCTCAGTTTACCTGCCCCGTCCCTTCTGTGTTGGTGTCCCGTCCTTCTCCCGGTGGAGAGTTTCCCTTCCTCAGTTTTCCCGCAGGTGTTTTTCAGTTCCTCCGGTTTATTCTTCCATGCACCGAACGTGCCTGCTCTGGCTTTTGCTGGACCACCAGCTTTCTCCAGCAAAGTCTTTATAGTATTTATGGCCCTCTCTGCTTGACCGCTGGACTGGACATGTCCGGGACAAGGTGAAATGTCTGAATTCCCAGGTTTCTTTCTTAATGGTGCTCTGGTTTCTGACAGGTTTGGAGTGAACTTGATAAGATACTTGTCAGTTTTGATACTCAAAGCAGGACCCAGATGCAGAGATCGTGGTTCAAAAAGGTTTTATTGAACCAAAAGCGCACTCTCAGAGTGGAAACAAAGTACCAAAACAATATAGACAAAACTATGAACAAAGTATCAAATAATAATCACTCTTACGAGCCAGACAATCTGTGAACAAAGTACAAAATAAACTCACTCTGAAACAAGGACCAATGTTACAAAGTACAAAATCAAAACTCTCTTACGAGGCATAAACGGGAGGACAAGGCAAGGCTAGGTTCAAGGCTAGGTTCGGACAATAGTACTTGTTTCCCCACAAGACAAGGGGAAACAAGGAGTACTTAAACACATGAGGGAAGGGAACCCCAGGGGAACACAATAGGTGATCAAGGAAGACAAGCATACATGTGACACACAGGGGAGTGCAAGTGGCCTGAAACAAGGGGATGTATCTTTCAAAATAAAACAGGAAATGACAAGACAACCATGGAGACAGGACAAAACACCCAAAAATTCCCCCAGACGTGACAATACTGAGCCAGCCTAAGAGCCTGAGCAGTGCCTGTTTGTCCTGAGATGGGGGTAACTGCCACTGGTCACACTTTTTTCCTCATCTGCTTCCAACCTTCTGTCTACTCAGTGTGTGTCCCATGCATTAGATCTCTTTAGTCCTGATGAAGCTCTTGTTTTTGTCCAGTTTCAGACTGTGTCGGCCTGTGACCCTGCTCCCCTTTAGTGTCTCCCCACACCAGTCTTTGTCTTTTGGGTCCATGCAGACGCATAACCATCCTATTGACCCATTCGGTTGACCCATTCCCTGTAGGTCTGTTTACACCCTTGGATGTGGTGCTGACCTGTCACACAGATCTAGTCTTTGAGAATGTCTTCTTTACCTTTTAGCATCATATAGTCTTTGTAATAAGCCCAGGCTCAATTAAATGTTTTTTTCTATTCCTTTGTTTGCAGAAAATAGCCTTTTCTTGCCTAATGCTGCCACCTTGTGACCAAAGAGGGGAACAGGCTTTGTCAGACTTGACAGGGTTTTATTTGACATGATCGCTCAGTGTGCACTCGTGTGAAGCTTCATGTCACGTGTTTGTTGTTAATCATGATTTTTTTTAGGTCCACATTTCAGTGTCTGTCTCTGCCAACTCCATGCATCCTTATGCTCCACTTTGACTGGACCCAGGAACCGTTCTTCTTTACTTCCACTCTGCTCTACACTGCGCACCCTCTGGATAAATTGTTTTCTTTGGTCCTTAGATCTGCTCATCTTAGCAAAGTCATTCACTTAATGGCATAGTTTGCATACTTGCAGGAGTGCAGGGGCCTCCTTTTTTGTTCCATGTTTGAATCCATATTAGTTGCAGTTTGTTTCTCTCTGTTCTTTTTCATTGGTTTAGCTGCATCTTTGTGGTCTTTTGAACAAACTGTTCTTAGTTAGCTCACATCAGCTTATTCTGGAAAGGATTTTACTTGGTTATTTCAGTGTGAGACATAAAGCAAAGTGTGAGATCTGCACCCTTGAGCCTCTGCCTTTCACTTGGTCATTTGTTGTGCTGCACACAATCCTGCCACATACCAGGGAATCGGTTAGTTCTTTTAACTCAAAGGCCTGGGTTTGCATTTTGTATCTGGGTAATATGCACCAGAGGTTTCCGCGCTCTTCTGAAGAACATGTGCTGTACGTTTTCTTTGGTTCACAACACCACGTCAATTTTTATCTGTTTTGTCATCCAAAATTCAAAATGACTAAATACCTTTACTGCCTCTTCTCCAGGGAAGCCACCAGCTGTTCAAAGGGGTCAAAATGCTGACACCAGTTTCTCCAATTTTCCACTGACCATCCTAATAATAATAGATTTAAAGCACTGCCCTGCACATCTTTTGGGTTGTAGTGCATTGGTGGTGGTCTCTGTGTGTTTGTGTATCTATTTACCATGCTTTAATTCCACTCTTTTCCCTCTTTTCTTTTTGCTCAAGTCTTATTTTGGTCAAAACATCATTATTCATCACTTCTCACAATTTCTTTCTATAGACAAAGTGTCCCAGCTGGAGCAGATGAAGCATGAAACGTTGAAATAAGGGAAAGAGAGGTGGTCCAGCGCGCAGTTTATGGCGAAAACCGGAAGTTTAATTGTAGAAATTCTGACACACTTTGGGGGGTTTCTTTACGCCGGCGTAGGCCATTCCCGATTACATGTACGCATGCTTTTTGGCGTAAGTGGATAGCTCTGTTTCAGGCCCCGTTTTTTTTTTCTTCTTTTTTTTTAAATTATTTATTTCCGTGTAAACTGCGGGTCCTGATACAATAACACCGATGATCGATCACTCAGCCCTCCGCTGAGAGATCTGCGCTGGAAATCCAAAAAACTCGTCTCACCTTTTTCTCACCGTTTTCAGCTGCGACATGGCTCGACCACGGCCGCGGGAGTACAAGGCAGGGGATCTGGTTTTCGCCAAAATGAAAGGATACCCGCACTGGCCGGCCAGGGTGAGTGCGGCTTTTCCCCGGATTGCGCACCGTGCGCCCGCTCCGTGATGGAGACCCTTCCAGCTGAGCGTGGGGGCTCCGTGGCTGGGTTCATCATCATCATTGTATGTGTGGGGGGTATATTTCAAGTCAAGTGGAGCGCTTTCGGGCTCCATTATTGCCCAGATGCGCCACTTGTGTTAGAAATAGCGAGCTGCGTGTTTTTTTTTTTTGCGCGCAGATCCGTCGTCTGCCCTCAAACTCAGCAATAAGCAAGACAGCAGCTGGAAAAAACTGTCCCATTTCACATAGCTGCTTGTAATCAAGCCCTGGTGAGTGGCCCAGCTCAGTAGAGCTCCATAGCACACTGATATGGGGCTTTACCCACGAGCAGGGGGGCGGATTAGAACCATCCTACAGCAGCTATACTGATGTTAGAGACGCATCCTACTGTCAATGAGCAGGGCTGTAAAGATCTGGAATATATCAGCAGCATTTTTGATTTGTGACACGCACCCATCAGCGTCCTCCTCTTGTCTCCTTTCCTTTAGATTGACGAACTTCCTGAAGGAGCTGTCAAACCACCTGCCAACAAGCATCCCATCTTCTTCTTCGGAACCCACGAAACGTGTGCCCCTTTTTCTTCTTCTTATTAGAAAGAAAATAGTTGCTGTTTCCATGTGAATTGGATCTTTTGCTTGCCTTTATTTGCACGCATGTGGTTTTTTTAGTTGCTTATTCTCAGCTCTGGTTTAGAGAAGGGGGACAGACCTCTTAGTTCAACATGGGGCATTCAGGTTGCCAAATTATGAAACTGCTTCCACAAGCTTTTTGTTGCCAATGTATGTACATAAAATGTACATACATTGGAAACAAAAAGCTGCCCATAAACGCATCACACCTATAATAAAAAGGCCGGTTTCCCACAGAACCAGATGTATAGTCTCCCAGTCTCCCAGACAGCCGTAATGCTGCATGCTTTCTTTTGTTTTAAAGTCACGGTAGTTTCCAAAAGCACATCTTTCTGTTTAGATCAGAACTCACTAAGCAGACTTTTGTTGTTGTTGTGACCGGTGTATTGACTATGTCCACTCCTCTTTCAGGGCTTTCTTGGGTCCGAAGGATCTTCTCCCGTACAAAGAGTATAAAGACAAATTTGGCAAGTCCAACAAGAGGAAAGGCTTCAACGAAGGCCTGTGGGAGATTGAGAACAACCCTGGGGTCAAGTTCACGGGCTATCAGGTCAGTGATACCAAACTAAGAAATGAGGGCTACCGGCAGCCTGGGCTTTCTGCTCCGGAGAGGGGTGTCCAGAGGAACCCCGGTGCGGGGCTTGGGTCTGTAGTCTCACACGACCTGTGGTGGATGTTTGCGCCCCCAGACCGTCCAGCAGCAGAGCTCCTCTGAAACCGAGGAGGGGGGGAACGCTGCCGACGGCAGCAGCGAGGGCGAGGAGGGAGACTCTTTGGAGGAGGAGAACAACAAGGACACGCTGAAGGAAGATAAGACGGGATCAAAACGGAAAAAAACAGCCGGCTCCAAGGTACTGTATGTCGCCGTTATGAGGACTATGAGATTATGAGAGCCGGCTTAAGCTAAAAAATCAGTAGAGCTGTGTCCACATCTGATCCAATCAGAAGGACCAGTTGAGCTCCTGCTTATATGAGGTCTGGGGTGAGGGAAAGAGCCCCCCCATAGGTAGAGGGTGGAAGCACGGTTATCCTTTAAGGCTGCAGGGCATCTCTTTAGGTCCCCTGAAAGTACTTCAAGCTTTTAGGCAGAGGAATGTGTTCTTTTTCTGTGTGAAGCCACCTAACTCTGAACTTTGAATCACACCAAACTCCATGTGTCCGTGGTCATTTCCGGTAGTTTTGTTAGAAAGAGCAGCGCAGTGTGCTGAGTTTAAACCTCACTCGGTCCTGCTTAGGAGCCCCCTAAGGACAATATGAAGAAAAAAGCTAGAGAAAGCCAGAAGACAAACCACACACCTCCCTACAATCAGCACCTGAACCTCATTCAGGGCCAGGGTCAGGGTCAGGGTCAGGGTTAGGGTTAAAGTAAGAGTTAGGATTAGAGTTAGAATTTGGGTTAGAGTTGGGATCAGGGTCAGAGTTAGAGTTAGGGTTAGAGTTAGTGTCATGTTTAGAGTTAGGGTTAGGGTAAGGGTCAGAGTTAAGAGTTACTGTCAGGGTTAGGGTTAGAGTTAGGGTTAGAGTTACTGTCAGGGTTGGAGTTACGGTCAGGGTTAGAGTTAGGGTTAGAATTAGAGTTACGGTTGGAGCAACGGTCAGAATTAGAGTTACGCTTAGAGTTAGGGTCAGAGATAGAGTTAGGGTCAGAGTTAGAGTGTGGGTTTGAGTTTGGGTTATAGTTAGGGTCAGGGTTAGAGTAAGGACTAGGGTCAGGGTTAGAGTTAGAGTTAGGGTTACAGTTAGAGTTTGGGTTAGAGTTAGAGTTTGGGATAGGGTTAGAGTTAAAGTTTGGGTTAAAGTTAGGATCAGGGTTAGAGTTGGAATTACAGTTAGAGTCACAGTTAGAGTTAGGTTCAGAGTTAGAGTTACGGTTAGAGTTAGGGTCAGAGTTAGAGTTAGGGTTAGGGTCAGAGTTAGGGTTAGAGGTAGAGCTAGAGTAACGGTTAGGGTTCAGGTCAGAGTAGAGTTAGGGTTAGAGTTAGGGTCAGGGGCTCAAGGTTGCGCAATACTAAACAAGTAAGTCTGCAATTGCATGTTTGGCCATAGGCTTTTGGCCAAACAAAAGCCTATGGCCGTTTGTTTAGAATGTCCTCTTGAAGAGGTCCTGTGTGGGTGTATGATGTGTATGGCATAACCTTACAGATTGCTTAATCATATACAATTGGTATCCTCATGATTTTAAAGCCTGTCCCATAAATCTACTAAACTTTGTCAACAGTCCCTGTGCTAGCTTTCTGAACAAAGAAACCTAATTACCATGCAGCTGTTCCAATGCTTAGTACCAGTGAACGATAGGTGAACAATCTGTGTTTGTGAAGGGTATTAATCATGTCACATAATTATAAAAGCAGCGCTTCTGAACCATTAATCATGAGTAATAGTGAGGATTCATAATCAGCTGAAAATTCCATGAGCTACCTCAGATGGATGTGCACAGGCTGGCAGCATTCAGACACCCACTGCTGGCATCCTCAGAAGCTTGTTTCATTCAACCTGTTTGTTGTTACGGCTTCTGTTCCCGGTGACCTGATTGTATCCTTCATGATGTTTGTCTCTGTTTTTACCTGGCCTTTATTTAAGAGAAAAAGGGACGGAAGCCACACTGTTACTGTACGACTGCGTGAGTCACTGCTGCTGGAAATGGAAGCAGGTTGAAAAAGTCACACATCCGTCTCCTTACTTAGCAACAACAGTTCCCTAGCAACTGGTTTCCATTACACGGGGCATATGTGGGGCATTTTGCTGTAGAGCACTATGCTGATGACATTGCGATGCGGTGTGTCGAGCATAAAGCCTAAGATATCCACAACTACCAAGTGTACGGCAGGGCCTTGTTGTGTGTTTCCTCACACACTTGCAGGAACCAGTCAATAATAACCCTAAAATCAGGCTTGGGCTGTCTGTTCTGGAGATTTTCAGCACGATTGTCAAAATGGCCAACAAAGATGAGACGATCCTCATCAAACTGAGGACAAGAGACTAGTCTGTAGCGAGATGGCTCTAGTGGCTTATTTCCCCTTTTTGACCATCCAACATTGCCCTGATCTAAATCCTAATGAGAACATTTGGAGATGGGTGGCAAGGGAGGCATGCAAAAATAGGTCCCTTCCAGACAATGGATGCTCCTCTTGAAGCCATCTTCCCTATCCTCCTAGAAACACTCACATCAAGCATTCCTACAGCTTTGCTAAGACGGTCAACAGTAATGGTGGAGCTACCCAGTGCTGAGTTGTTATTTGAGGTTTTTTGGGCGGTGATCTGAGCCATGGTCTTAAACTTTTGGTAGCTGATGAACAGCCTATTTCGGTTAAACTGGTTTTCAGTCAATTTCTTGAGAAGATCAAACTATTTTTTACTGGTCTTTATGTTTGAATCAGGAGTGCATATTGTTGCTATGTATCCTTAATCATTAGCATAATTATTTTTCATTGTTATCCCCTGTTTGCCATTGGCAGAGATTCTCAAAGCTGTCAAGAATCTCGTCAGGAGAGGATGACCTGGAGAAGGATGGAAAAGATGAAGACCAGAAGAGTGGTTCAGACGAAGGAGACCATGACAGCGACTTTATCCAAAACACCACTGAAAATAAGGTGGGATGCCTATCTGATTAGCTCTCTCTCATTTCGGCAACGCAACAGAGGAGCATGTGGTCAAACATGGCAGCTCCAAAGATCATTGGCCTAGCTCTACATTTCAGTCTTAAATAGTTCTTTTTAAAAAATTGATTTACCTTGTCCTGTTCAGCATTATGGCAGCAGGACCGAAATATGAGTACCGTGCTAACACATTTGCTTTGCAAAGGGTGGTTTTACTGGTGAAAAGCCCTCCTTGATTATCCAACGCAGCTTGATTTATTTATTTGTGTTACCAAACTTGACGTGTATCCAATAATGCTGAAACTGACAGAGGGACAGGGAAGAAAGAAGAGCAAAGGAAAGCTAATCCCAAAAGGAGAAAGATCCTTTAGGCAGAGAGAAAAAGACAAAAAGAAAGACAACAAAACCATACAACCAGCTGTCGTGTCTGTAAACAGAAACAGTTTCTTGTGGGTAATCCGAATGGAGAACCTCTAGGAGCTCCTGCAAATGGACACAGGAAAACAAAAGAACATAAAACTGAAAGTGTCCACTGTCATATGTCCATTTAGTTATTATTTAGTCACTATATAGTTATGTATAATATTATATATCATCCACTTGTATTGATATGATTGTCTGTGCTGTTCCTCCCAGAACCAGCTGCTTAGAGAAGAACATTAAAAGAGGAAAAACACAGCAGGGAAATCTTTCGGTGTCGCTGTGATGTTGGAGAAACTCATCCACGATAGGATTTCTCACCTGCACAACCTACTGGCTGCAGTCATCTCATCCTCTAGTGTGTCAGACGTCCATGCGTGTGCCCTTACCCTCTCCTGGTGTCAGCCGTCATATGGAAATGCCACTAATTTGATCATCGAGCGAGTCCCACCTCTCTAAGCCTTCTTAAACCAATGACAACATTGATAAGACAACACAGCTTAAGGCCTCAGAGTAATTATATTTCAGCTTGTTAAAGGCCATTAAAATAACTTTGGTCCTACAGGTGAGTTGACACGAATGCTCTGACAAACCTTTTATTTTTGAGTGTTGCATTATGAATACTTTGTGCTGGCAGGAATGGTTTGGGTTTGTACTCTGGTTTCTTCCCACCGTCCAAACACATGCCCGTGAGGTTACCGGTCACTCTAAATTGCCCCTAGCCAATGACAGCGTGTGTAGTTTTTTGTCTCTGTGTGGTCCTGTGATGGACTGACCCGTCCAGACTGTGGCCGCCTCTCGCCCACGGCAGCCGGGATACACTCCAGCCCCCCCCCACCCCCCCCCACCCCCACACCCCACACCCCCGATAATGGATGGAAGTTGTCCATTGTACTAATGTTTTACATTTTTATAGGATGGACCAGCCAAATAAGGTTACATACTGCCTCCACAATTCTATCTGAAAGTTAGTTGTTATATACGAGCATTGGTTTCACCATAGTTTGCCAAATGTGTGTCCCAGGAAATGCAGTTATGGTGTCACATTCCCCGTAGACTCAATGAGCTGGAGTTGTGTGTATTTTTCCCAGTACTTCCCAACCATACACTGTATAGATAGCCATCAAACAGTATTAATGCTAGTGGTGCATACCTACTTGTGTTGTGTTAATAATGAACCATTGGAGAACACCCCTGTGTGTAGATAAATATGAAATATAATCTCCTGCAGTCTATGATATATGTTGTGTATTACAGTGTACCGGTCACTCTAGTTACAGCTTAAATAGTTTTTTATGAGGGTAGTTATGAGAGTGACTCATTAAAATATTCACTAACAGTCAGACAGTGTCCATCAACACGATAGGTTGCTCTTATGTGATCAGAAAAAGATGATTGGGCATACATATATAGATGTATGGAGTGTTGTGCTCAGTTCGGTTACATGTGGAAACTCCTTATTAACCGCGTCAGTATATTTCCCCCGAAGACCACCGTTTCCTTGGCTTGCTCTTGATAACATTGTTTTATTTAAAAAATTATCCGTTTGCCCCCTTTTTGTGTGTAAAGTAGAGAAATCCCTGTACAATAAAAGCCTTATAGAGCAGCATGCAGATGTAATTGAGTGGCCAGATGCATAAACGATACACAGGAAAAACCAAGGTGTGCAGCTACAAGAAGAATCTGTCCTGAAAATGCCAGTGTGTGTATTCCCCCTACCACACGTACACACACAGCATAGAAACACAACTATGAGGTGGAAAAAGAGAAGGATTCTAGATAATTAAGCAGAAAACATAACAAATCCACTAACTTTTTGTTTCTCGTATTCACAGGAATTGTGGTGCTTTAAATGAAGAACCATAAGCTGTGCGTAATAGCTGTGAAAAATATAGATTTTGGACATTTTTCTGGCATTGGATTGTTTAATAGCCTTCCACAAAGCAAATGAATGAAATTACAGCACCTCATACTCTGTATGCTGTCACAGTGCATTCGTCTGTTGCATCTTACCAGAACCCTAACAGAACCCTGCATGAGTTGCTGCTTGTTTCCTGATAGTTTCTTTTTCTTTTCTTTTTTTTTTTTACTTCTGCGGGGTCATTTATTCTTGCCTTATAGAACTGACTAGGCACTGTTGGCTGAGTAGGCACTTGTTAAAAAAGCCCCATTAAGCCGTCAGCTTCCATTTATGGCTACGTTTGAAGTGGAAAGAAGGGTTGTGTATAGTTTCCGGATGACAGAGATATTTCAAAAAGAGCCATGCGTATGCACAGCTCTGTAAATATGTATGCCTATTGTAGCTATTGTGTTGACATGGTCATTATTTACACGCAGTTTTATGCATCTGGCCCGTAATGTTTTCTTTTGAGAAAGTGTCAACTGAACTTTAGTGTGTGTGTGTGTGTGTGTGTAAATGTACATGCATTCTTGAGATCAATTCCATTTGGAGGAAACTGAAAATGGCTTCTGTTGTTTTCTGTTTCCTGGTCTTGTTATCGGGACTTCAGGTTGATTTTGGCCACATTCATTTTCTGTGGAACATAGCTCTAAGGATGGTTTTATTCTGAAACAGTGTGGTGTGTGATCACACTCAGTGCATCTGCCTTTTTCTCTACTTTTTTTGTCATGAGATATAGACTATTTTTTTAATGATAGTTGATACACCCTCTGTATCTAGACTTGTCGTTTTTTTATTTCTTTCATACATGTGTTATGCTCATTTTTGGGAGATATATGCAGTTGCAAGATTTGTAATTTACTGTAAACTGTTTTTGCTGTTTATGGAAGATACTTTTGCTAAATAAAACTCATTGGAATGCAACGTGAGCCTGTGATGCACATTTGTAACCTCACTCCATCTTGAAGGGGTATTGGTTCTTCTACCAAATCTTATTGCCACAGGCTGGGTTGGGCTTACCCTTAAGGCCTGGAAGCCGCCGCCAGTATGGCAGAGCCAGCGTTGATCCTGTGCTGATGTGTTTTCATCATCCATCTGTTAGCCCGATTCTTTAGTTGGAAGCCTGAGAATAAACCAGAGCAGATCAAGAGAACAAATATGACATTTATTGGTCGCAAGCAAAGTAAATCAGCCCTGGGCTCTTCACAGACAAAGATCCCGGAGGATCTCAGTCGGCTAACAGCCTCGATTTCCGGGTGTTATGGACAGTTATGCTCTGGGCCGGGCCTCGAACGGGAGGAGGGCTGGACGCAAGCGATTGTTATTGGCCTGTTAGCTCTGACATGAACAGGCCAGTCCCTAATTCATGCAAGTTTCTTTGTAATGTGATAAGAAAGTATGTGCGTGTGTGTGAATGTTGCCCTTGAAGACGTGTATCTACCGTAACAGAGAGAGGAGGAGGAGGAGTAGGCACAGCCAGAGAGTTTAACACAAAAGTATCACTCTAAAGGGAACAATTTAAATCTAAAAAGGAATACAACAATCAGTCAATTACATGGATTAAGTTATAACATACAATGTTAACACAAGTGTAGTCAACAGCTTCTGCTTTTCCAACCTGTCACTCGTTAAGTGCCCATTACTGTCAAATGATCAAATACTTATACTCTCTTGTTTTTAATAAAGATTTCTAGACCCATTCTGTAAGCTCATTCCTAACCTGCATGGATAGATAGATAGATAGATATATAGATAGATAGATAGATAGATAGATAGATAGATAGATAGATAGATAGATAGATAGATAGATAGATAGATAGATAGATAGATAGATAGATAGACTGTCTGCATTAAATTGTGCTGTATTCTTGAACAAACTATCATATATATAAAAAATGTTTTAAAAATCCAATTTTTAAAACACCATCACTCATCTTATGATGAGTGATTGTGGCCATGACCAGTTGAACAAAACGTTTTTTTCTATTAACTTAAGAAGCTCCTAAAGGCCTTTAGGCTTTGGCCAACAGCAACACGAAGCAAACAACCCATGTCATAGACATCTCAGAACAGAAAGTCATATATACATCTGAGGGAAATCAATTGTTCCCTCAAAACTTTCTGCCTGCGTTTGCTCCATCTGTGAATGAGAATAATTCTCCCGGTCTCAGAACAGCACAAGAATTGGTTGGGAAATAAAAGTTATGAGCACAGACGCGTCAGCCTGAAGCTGCAGCCTTCTGCAAAGATGTGGGCACCGAGTGCTACGGCGCATGCGCGACGTTATTTCGGCGCTGAAAAGGAAGGAACTACATTAGCGGTGGCACAACGCTCCAGCCAGGGAGGTAGTCTGAGGAAAGAGTCCATTTGCTTTTGAGCACTGCGACGGCGCAAAGTTCTGGAAATGGCAGATAAAGAAGGTAGATGTTCTGACACTGCTTACCTTGCTTTTGAATTTGTTGTTTTCCTATAATGCGCACAAAGAGCAGCCGTCATCCACGGGGCTCGGTTAGCATCACATGCTAGCAGTGGGAAGTCAGTGTGCTCACTGGAATTAGCCAGGCAGCGCACTAATATTAGTTTTTATCATCATATTTGAAATAACATTATATCAAAATGTTAATATTTTTTATCCAGGACAAAACCAATGCCAAAACGGCACATATGCCTTCTTAAAATAAATAACCTGGGAGCCCGCTGTTTAGTTTGTGCTAACATCTCCCATAATACTTAGCGAGCAGCAAAACCTCTCAGACCAGAGGGAGCACTAAATACTTGGGATACGAAATGGAACTAACCTTTCTTTGTGCGTAGTGTGTCGGAGAATTCTAGCAAAGTAACTGACGGTAATACTGGCGCGAAGTTGTGGTTATTGGCGGTGTGAGGGAGCTCTCCTTTAGCCAAAAGGCTAACCGCCCTGCAGATTCAAATGTGTGGACCGACCAACCCCGGTGGCACGCGCGCTGACGCCTGTCACCTTACGCCAAAACTGTTGTCCCGCACAGTGTACGACGATGCGGTGGAGGAGAGGGTCATCAACGAGGAGTACAAGATTTGGAAGAAAAACACCCCTTTCCTTTACGACCTGGTGATGACGCATGCGCTGGAGTGGCCCAGCCTCACTGTCCAGTGGCTTCCAGATGTCAACAGGTACTCTGAGGCAGCGTGTGTGTGTGTGTGTGTGTGTGTGTGTGTGTGTGTGTGTGTGTGTCTCAGCCCACTGCGCTCTGATGGTTACAGACAACATTTTAGGCTTAGTTTTGTCTTCATCTGCTTTAGGACACTAAGAATGTGTTTTTGTTTTGTAACAAATTTGTGATCATTGAACTCAGTCTACTTTTTGTAGTACTACAAAACTCTACTGTGGAAGGAACTTACTAAAAGGGATACTAAAACAGACTGTAGGTCCAAAGCCTATAAAAGATCATGTAGATATCAAGAAGATTCTGCTTTAAATGCATAAACACACACTGAGACAGAGGTTACTCGAGTTAAGAATAGTGCCAGTTTTAGGAAAATTGAACAAAATAGTCAGTGTCTTCACAAATGTTTAGCTGTAGAAATGGACGTGGAAGAAAGTCGAGAAGGACATCTTTGTCAGTTGTCTTCAGCACAGGAATGATGATTTTTAAGATGCATATTTGCTTTTACTGAGAAAGACTAGCTGGAAAAGAGACTTGTCTTTTGCTGTCCGGCTGTGAACATGCACTGAAAAATCTTTAGCTTCCCCAAACACCATGTCCATGTCGTAGGCCGGAGGGGAAAGACTACACCGTCCACAGACTGGTTTTGGGAACCCACACGTCGGATGAGCAGAACCACCTTGTGATCGCCAGTGTCCAGGTCCCAAATGACGACGCCCAGTTTGACGCCTCGCATTACGACAGCGAAAAAGGAGGTAAGGCCCCGATAGCTCCTGCAGTCCGACTGTGGTGGAGACGACATGATCACATGTGGAGTGGAATGCTCTCCACCTGTGATAGCTGTGTTAATCTTGAGGGGGACGGGTCTCGACTAACACTAGGTCACTAGGACTATTGATACTGAAAGCTTTAAGCCTGGCTACGCTCTTCATGCTGTTACAAATACCACGTGCTCTGTTGCTAATTCATGCTAATGAGCAAGTAAGCGCTTTTATGATGTCTGATATTGACCAAATCACGCACATCTGCACATCTCCAACCAGATTACAGTCAGCTAATGTGTTAGGGGCTCGTATATTCCCAACTTAACTCAAAGGACCTGTTGCTTTCTGCACATGCACGTTTCCTAAAACAGGTTTGAGAGTTTATCCATGCAGCCATGTGCACAAATTGTTCTGTTACCTATCAGAAAGTGTGTAGGACCTCCAGTGGTCTCTTAGAGAATTTCTAGACTGTCGCTCTGCTCTAAAAAAAATCCAGTCTGCAGTGAGTGTGTTACACTTGTTACACTTCTGCCTCCCACGGTGAACGTTAAAAGCTGCAGAACGCTTCAAACATTTGCTCAGAGGTCCACAGTCTCCCTCCCTGTGTGTGTTGTGGGCGTAGGCAGTGGTCCGTCTGGTGGCCGTGTCCAGCTGTGTCTGTGTTTCTGTGTGTTCGGGTGCAGTTGGGATGTGAACTAAGGTGTGCTTTTGCATTCTCCAGCAGGTATGTTGATGGGGCCTCTGCTGTGGGCTCACTGCTCACATGGTTTCTGGCCACAGGTAGTGTTAGTATTTTAGCCGGTCACTCGCCGAACTGAAGGTACGGTATGCGTCTGCCTGTCTTACTGGAAGTGGTGTTTCATGTCCCCAGCCAGTCTGAGATCTAATTGTTAGCTTTTCTGTGGAAACCAAATCACTGTCTTCTGTCAGAAGTAGGACTTAAAGGGAATAGCACACCTCTAGTTAAACGGGTTGTGTCACAGCCATGGTTTGATGTGCAACTGTCCAGTGTGTGCCGGCCCTCTTCTTCATTCTTGTTGGTCTCCCTCGCCAGAGTTTGGTGGATTCGGCTCCGTGAGTGGCAAAATAGAGATTGAGATCAAAATCAACCACGAGGGAGAGGTGAACCGAGCCCGTTACATGCCCCAGAAGCCCTGCATCATCGCAACCAAGACTCCCACTTCCGATGTGCTGGTCTTCGACTATACCAAACACCCCCCTAAGCCAGGTAGGGGCACTTTGGTTGTTCTCCTCCTCACACCACCTGTAACTTCCCGCTCACGCCTCGACATTATGTGTGTGTGTTCCAGATCCCAGCGGGGAGTGTAGCCCGGACCTGAGGCTCAAAGGCCACCAGAAAGAAGGTTACGGCCTTTCCTGGAATCCAAACCTCAGTGGGAACTTACTGAGTGCTTCTGATGACCATGTAGGTCACCGGAACTAAAAACCCATCACATGATGGTGTCGAAACGTAAAAAAATGAGTTCAGAAAATGGCTGCGACAGCAGTGAAAGACGTTGAGTTTGTTTACTTTGGTTTTCTGGGCTAAGCTTCAACCAGCTCAGGAATCGTGAGGAATATTAACGGCTCGGCTTTGTGTTCCTCTTAGACCATCTGTCTGTGGGACATTGGGGCTGGCCCAAAGGAAGGGAAGATAGTAGACGCCAAGACCATCTTCACAGGGCACACGGCCGTGGTGGAAGACGTTTCTTGGCACTTGCTTCACGAATCGCTTTTCGGCTCGGTCGCCGACGACCAGAAATTGATGATGTAAGTGGCGCGAGGGCTGGGTCTGGTTTAGCGAGAGGAGCCGAACGCACCCAGTTAAAATGCTGCATTTTACACCTGCTTCATCCTCCCCCAGATGGGACACCCGGTCCAACAACACGTCCAAAGCCAGCCACGCGGTAGACGCCCACACGGCCGAGGTCAACTGCCTGAGCTTCAACCCCTACAGCGAGTTCATTCTGGCCACTGGCTCCGCAGATAAGGTAGAGAAGCCGAGGTCCTTTCATCCTGTAAAGAGTGGTTTCACCAGTAACCGCCTCCTTCCATTCCTCCCAGACTGTTGCTCTGTGGGATCTGAGAAACCTCAAGCTGAAGCTCCACTCCTTCGAGTCGCACAAGGATGAAATTTTCCAAGTAAGAATCGGGACTGCTTTTGAGTGTCCCAGGTTTGGCTGTATTCTGACTTCCAGCGAAACCCTGTCCCGTCCCAGGTCCAGTGGTCCCCCCACAACGAGACCATCCTGGCCTCCAGCGGCACCGACCGGCGTCTCAACGTGTGGGATCTCAGGTAAGGAGCAGACGTCCCCTTTCTGTGTCCGGCAGTCCCGGTCACTGCATGCGGGACGCGAGTAAACTGTGGGCTGCTTTTTTGAAGTAAAATCGGGGAGGAGCAGTCTGCGGAGGATGCCGAGGACGGCCCGCCGGAGCTCCTGGTAGGCGTGCCGCTCACTTAACTCATTGACTGGCAGCCATTTTCAGAACAGAGAGTCCCATACTGCCAGAGTTTTTTGAGCATTTTGACTGATTTTCCAAGAGCCACAGAATAGTTTGTGCTATGATTATGTAAACACCGAACACACCAAAAGAAAGAGTAGACTCTTCTTTCATCAGGAAAAAAATGTTTTTCTACTTTATTCCGTTCTTCCTCGACTTGTGTCTCACCGGCGACATGTTCTCTCATAGCGAAGCGTTACCTTTTTCTTATTTGCCTACAATCTATGCTCATCTGCCATCAAAAGTGGCACTGCCCCCTAGAGGGTCAATTTGTTAATACATACTCTGTCTAGAAGCCGATATTTACGGACAAGCTTTAGCAGATCGTCCCCCAAGCCACTCGCGTTGAAAAACATAAAAGACGTCTATAGACGTCTTTGGCAGCCAATGAGTTAAGATTTTACTTTGTTCCCCTTTTTTGTTCCCTGTCCTCACCGTATGCCTTTTTTCTTCAGTTCATCCATGGTGGCCACACAGCCAAGATCTCGGACTTCTCCTGGAACCCCAACGAACCCTGGATCATCTGCTCTGTGTCCGAGGACAACATCATGCAAGTCTGGCAAATGGTGAATACAGGACTCAGTGTGTGTGTGTGTGTCTCCAAATGGGGCCGGAGATATCTGACGGAAGAGTGGGACTATTCCTCTTTATTCCAGGCGGAGAACATCTACAACGACGAGGAGCCCGACAACACCCCCGCATCAGAGCTGGAGGCTCAGGGATCCTAACCCAGCTCCCCCCCCCCAGGCATCTCCGACACACGGGACGCGGGCCTGGATGTGCTAAAGGCTGAAATCCAACGCCACCCCCCACAGCACAGAATTCTCAAATGGGCTTTTCCCAAAACAAACTGACCAATCATCCGTCATTTCCAAAAAGCTTCGGGTGGGGGGCGGGGCTCATAGTAAACCCTGGGAACCGGGCTTCAGTAACGAATTTTGACTTGTGCTTTTTTGACGATTATAACAACCATGCTGGTCATGTCCAGAGATGCTTTTTCATAGCCTGTTCGTCCACCTTTTTGCACTCGTGGTTAGTGTTCCACATGTTTGACCTCCGAGAACCCGCTCCCTGCCGTTTGCCTCCTGTTCTAAAAAGGTACATGCACACCCTGGGATTCAAGTGCACACGGACGCCCTTCTTTCCTTTTGTCAATGTGAAATTGTGGTATGTTTCCTGCACCACAAACTGCAATAAAGCTTTTTTACCTTTTTCCGCTTCCATGCTCGTTCCCCTCAGTCCGACGCCGGCAGAGTGAAGACGCAACTCGGGCTTTGCAAATCCTACAAAATATTTATTGAAAAGCAAGACAACGCTGAGAACATTGTACAATCGACAAGTAGTTGTGGGCTCTCTAGCAAAAAAACAAAACAAAAAAAAAAACCCCTCAAACCTCTGCCCCTTCCTGCCCCCCCCCCACACTTTCACAGTCTGACCTGTAGAGGTAGGTTTTCACATTACCTGAGAGTCAATCTGGGGCAATGCCTCCTGGGAAATGGATGCTGCTCAGCCTGGCCACAACTACCAGAGGACCCTGTACCCAACCATATGTGCACACGTATGCACACACCAGTGCCATCATTTAACAGGTGAAACTCAAAGGAAATTTAGTTGGGGACACATTGGGATGGTTTTGGTGGTGACCCTGGATCACTTGTAGTTTTTCTGAGTGAAACTGAGGGAGCAGAACTAGTGGAAAATTCAGCCTACTGGGCCGTGCAACAGGAGCTTCATCCTCAGTCTAGGAAGTCTGCAGAAATACCACCATGTGGACCAACTAAAAGTAAAAGGCCCATCAGTCCGATCGCCTATTGATGTCAAGTCCAACATTCAACACACATACATGAACTTTGCCTGACGGTAAAGTCACCGCCACTGAAGTCAGCATCTCTTTATCTGAACTCACATCGTCACTGTTCCCTGCACACAAGGTCCAGAATGCAGTTTTCTAACCCTAGTTCCCATTGAATGCCATGAGGGACCTTCAGTGACGACATGACTAAGCTGTCCTCATTCGTCTTTCCCCACATTTCACCACTTCCATACGACTGCCGTCATTCCAGAGGGGTCTCATCGATATATCATTGAATCTAAACCTAACGCCGGCTGCTTCTGATCGCAGGAGCTGTGGAATCGGCGGTAACAAAAACAAGCTTTAATGCAGCGTGACCCTGAGTTCCATTCAGGCAGACAGAAATCCACCACAAAGACCCCTTCACTGCCCCGACGGGACAAAGATGGGGCTTCTCAGGCCTCTCATCTGCTTCGGAAAACTTTAAATGTACTCAAACAATCTTAATATTTCTGCTCTAGTTCAAACATTGTAGCTGAATTCAAAATGAGGGAATGAACCACCACTCAACCCACCACGGGAGCCGTGAACCTCCCAGGACTCCGCAACCCACTGGACTCTGAAGACATTTTCCGAGATATGAGACAGTTCCAGGGAGAGAAAAAAAAAGCCCACGAGCAGAGAAAGAAAAAGGCAAATTTAACTCCCATTTGTATGAAAATACAATTGCAGTAGAAAAGGGGGCTAAGTGCTCGCCACTTGTTACTGAAACAAATGGAAATGTGGCAAAAGGTTAAGAATAGATTCCTCCATACAATCGTTTTATTAAGTGTCATCATCACACAAAAAGATAAAGGTTCAGTATCTGTATAGAATCTGAAAAGTTACTAATAAAAAAAAAAAGGGCTGTCCGACTCCGTTGGGGGGTGGAGCTGTGTGTGGTCCGGCAGCCCCCCCCCCCCACCTCTCACCTGAGGGCGTGTGAGCCTGCTCAGTCCTGTGTTAGGGGGGGGAGGGGGCTGCCTGCTCTGCGCTGTTCATCTGGGGAGTTTGCTCCAGCTCCTCCTCGCCCTGCACCAAGTCCTCACAATCCCCTTCCTCCTCCTCCTCCTCCTCTCCCAGCGCCGGGGGCTCCTGCCCGGGGCCCGGCGGGGGGGCGGGCGGCTGGCCCTGCTCCTGCAGCAGGCTGAGGCGGTTGTTGAGGTCGTTCCGCTCCTTTTGGAGGGCCCGGCACAGGCGCTCCAGCAGCTCCAGCTTCCCCTGCAGGGCCTTGAAGTGGCCGTCCCGCAGAGTTTTCTGCAACGCAACGTAATGAGTGAGCATTTTCGCCACGCTGGAAACGCCGAACGGGGAACAGGAGCCGGTCCTCACCTCCTCCGCCATCTGCAGCAGAGCCTGGTTGTTGCTCTCCCATTTGGTCCTCCACTGGGTGGTTTCCTTCTCCAGCTTCTTGATCTTTTTGGTCATCTAGAGGAGAAACCAGGGCGGATTAGAGCTAGAGCAGAAACCCACCCGCCGGCCATCGCTCAATGTGCAACTCATTATTTCGTCTGAGTGGAACGTCGGGTTCACGCCTGCGTTTAAACCTAAATACAGTGAACCCCTCGCTATATCGCAGTTCTCCTTTCAGATTCTCGCCGCTTCCCGCATTTGCATCGTGCATTGTGCTCTGCATTCTGATTGGCTAAACGGTCTCCCTCGCTTCTTCTCTACCTGTGTGTCAATAACACTTAATATGAACACGTACGTAAAACTGCTTGCCAAATTTAAGTTAGCAAATTCTCTTGCTATTTCAAGTTTCTCTAAAACTCATAATGTTTACAAAAAAACTATCGCTGAAAAAGCTAAACTTCTGGACATGCTAAAGGAAGGTAGAAGCTATGCGGCTGTGGGTCACCGTTACGGAATTAATGAATCTTCCGTTCGTTCCATAAAGGAGGAAAATAACATAAGGACGGCAGCAGCAATACATTTTTAATTAGGACGGGGCGGTGCTGATCTCCACAATTTGAAGCATTCAGTGCCTATTGGTGACTAAAAATATTATTTTACAGTACAGTAGTTATTTGCAAAAACAAAAACATTTATACAGTACTTCTATTTGTTTAACAAATAATTGGGCCTGTAAAAAGGTTTTGTTCTTTGATTTCAATGTATTATGGAATATTTAATTGTATAATAATTGTAAAAAAGAAAAAAAAAGGTTACTACTTTAAGGATTATGCCTATCACGCGTTATTTTTGGAACGTAACCCCCGCGAAAAACGAGGGGTTCACTGTACAGTTTATTTCAAATTAAATTAAATAAAAAATTAAATTGTCTGTTAGCTTAAAAAAAACAAACTCAGACATGGCAAAGTCCTGCGGACCGTCCCGGCCCTCACCTTCTCCATCTCCTGTCTGAAAGTAGTGAAGACCTCGTTGCTTTTGGCCAAAGTGCTTTGAAACTCCTCGAACTTGTCCATGTAGAGGGAGAGCTGTGAGGAGAGGAGAGGGGAGACGGGTGAGAGGGCGACCTGGGTGGTGGACTCCTGACCAGCTCCCGTCCCGGGACGCTAGTGGGGGGGGGGGGGGGGGCGTGTGCTCACCTGCTGCTTCAGCTGGGTTTCTTGGTCCTTCATCATTTCGCACTTGCGTCTGGACTCGGTGGCGTCCTTCAGCAGCTAAAGCACAGACACAGACACAGCTCATCGGAATGTCCCCACACTTCAAAAAGCTTTCATTCAAAAGTGGGAGGAGGGGGGGAAGGCTCTTACAAACTCTCTCTCGCGCTGCTGCTTCTCCTCCACCTCTTTCATCATCTCGGTGATCCTCTGCAGCTTGGCGTCCATCAGCTGCTGCTGCAGCTCCTTGTGCTTGAACACTTTGTCTATGTGCTGCAACGGTAGCAGATTTTCGGTTAGGCCCAGGCTCCGTCCTCATTCTAACATCCCAGCACATCCATCCCCCTCATCCATGCACTAGTGCGTCTGTCTACTAATATCATCGTCTGCTTCTGGACATCGTTGTGTGTGGGGACCCTCCTGGTTTACCCATCAGTGGGAGGCGGTTCCCCTGACCCGGGCAGGATTGCCTCACCTCTTCTCTGAGCTCGTATTGCTCGATGAGCTTTTTCAGCTTCTCGGCCAGCTCCATGTTCTCCTGCCGCAGCTTGGTGTTGTGAGAGCTGTGCTGCTCCATCTGCACCTCGATGTCACCCAGCGTCATCTGGAAGTGCAGCATGGCCTCTTTCCGCTGCTCCTCGTACTCCCTGGACCGCTGGGCGTTCTCCTCCTGAGGGCACGGGGTAAGAGGTGGGTGGAGTCCTTTTACCAAGCAATCCTCTATTCTTAACATGGTGAGGCCTAAACAAAGGCTGGTCCCACCCTGTCCGTCACTGAACTAAGAAAAACTACATCCACAGCAGACAAAACTACATCTCCTCGTAAACTAAACTACATCCCCCAGCAGACTAAACTACATTTCCCAGCAGACTAAACTACATCCCCCAGCAGACTAAACTATATTCCCCAGCAGACTAAACTACAATACCTCCCCCCGTAGACTAAACTACATCCCCCAGCAGACTAAACTACATCCCCAGCAGACTAAACTACGTCCCCCAGCAGACTAAACTATGTCCCCCAGCAGACTAAACCACATCCCCTTGCAGACTAAACTATATCCCCCAGCAGACTAAACTACTTCCCCCAGCAGACAAAACTACATCCCCCAGCAGACAAAACTACATCCCCCAGCAGACTAAACTTCATCCCCAGGAGACCAAACTACATTCCCCGCAGACTAAACTACACCCCAGCAGACCAAACTACATCCCCCGCAGACTAAACTACACCCCCAGCAGACTAAACTACATCCCCCAGCATACTAAACTTCATCCCCAGCAGACCAAACTACATCCCCCTGCAGACCAAACTACGTCCCCCAGCAGACTAAACTACATCCCCCAGCAGACTAAACTTCATCCCCCAGAATACCAAACTACATACCCAAGCAGACTACACTACATCCCCAAGCAGAGTAAACTACATCCCCCAGCAGACTAAACGACATCCCCCAGCAAACTAAACTACATCCACCATCGGACCCCACTACATCCCTCACAGACTAAACTACATCCCTCAAAGACTAAACTACACCCCCCAGGAGACTAAACTACATCCCCCTGCAGACTAAACTACATCCCCCAGCAGACTAAACTACTTCCCCCAGCAGACTAAACTACATCCCTTACAGACTAAACTACATCCCCCAGCAGACTAAACTACATCCCCCAGCAATCTAACACTTTTATGGTGATTTGGACCCAGTTTAGCAGAACCTGTCCAACTCTGAACAGAGCCACCCACCAGTGGACTGTGAGCACCAGGAGAACGAGCCCTGTGGGGGGAGGTACCTGTGGGAGGAGTTACCTGTGGGGGGGAGTTACCTTGAGCGTCTTGTTGTGCCTCTGAAGCTCCCTGCAGAGGCTCTCCAGCTTGCTGCGAGCCAGGATGGCCTTGCTGTGCTCCCCCTGCAGATGGACCTTCTCCTTCTGGATCTGGGACTGCTTCTTCTGCAGGGACTTGAGCTGCTTCTGCATGGAGCGGCTCTCTTCCAGCTGAACACATGAACAAAATAATTCTCCTTCAGTTAGTCGGTGAGGGATTTCTGGAGGGATTTCTGGAGCTGCTTTTACATGGGACATCATGATGTCTGCCTGACCACAGAAACAAAGCCTAAATGGCTGAGTCCATTTATTAACCACAGAGGCCAGTGTGAGGACATCTGCTTTCCATGCCATTTCTCCAGCAGTGTGACGCTTTAAACACAGGTTGACCTCGAGGCTTTCCATCTGTGTGGGCTAACAGGCTCATGGGCAGTGGTCCAGTAGATGAAACCTAAGACATCCGTTAAAGGGACTACAGGCAGCTTATATGGTTATACCTGGGCCTGGATTTTTTTGATTTTCAATTCAGAGAAGCTAGTTGTCTTTTGAGGGGAGACCCCTCGTGGCTACGTAGTGGGAGTCATTGTCTAATTCACAGTAAGGCCCGTTTAATCTTTGGAACATACTGTTCAAACGTCCTATCGAAGTTTTTCTGAAGACTGACGGCTTCCCAAATGGCTGTTTTGTTTTCATGATCTTAGTGCCGTTTTGTGTTCAGAAAAATAATAAAAATGCTGTAATACCACCCACCCATCTGAGAACAAAGCTATAGAGCAGGGTGCAGGAACATGTTCATATTCGAGAGGAGTGTTATTAAGAAAAGCTCCTCTTTAGGCATCCTAAAATGTTATATATTTAGCTTTCAGTTGGCTGCTGTTACAAAGCAAACGCCCTGGTATCCTCAAGATCTAGCTTAAACTGGCTTTACCTATGCAAGCTTTTATTAGAAATACCTCGATGACCCGGAAAGGTCCATGTGTTGTGACGTTATGCCTCCTGGAGGATATCCACAGACCCCCTGAGAACCTTTCCCTGACTCCTGCTTTGGCTCCATCCACACACAAAAACCCATGGTTTACCGTGAATAGGCATAAATAAATAAAACTACAGAAAAGTAAGACCCTGAAACCGAGCTCGCTGTGTGGGCTAGGTTGGAGGTGGTCAGTGTTTGCTGTGGCCGGATCCAGCTTTAGGTCAGGTTACACCATGTGATCAGACGATAGGTCATTGAGTACAGCACAAATAAAATTAATTCCATGGATGATTTCATATTGCTCCAGCTTTTCCATCCCAGTTAAGACCAGGTCTGATGACAGAACGACAGGTGTGGTAAAAATTAACCTGCGCCTCTAGAGTACATATGCTCTTGCCCGACTCTTAAAAAAAAGATACATGGACTCAACTAGCCGTCTTACCAGGTCTGCATATTTTTTGCACAGGGCAGCCAGTTTTTCTTCAGGAGTAGCCAAAGAGTTCAGGGCCTGCATCAGAAGAACCACCTCCTTCCCTGGAAAACAGGAATGTGGAGTCGAAAATGATTTAGCGATACATTCAGATATGCCAAGTACTGAGGGCTGGTTACAAAGACACACATTTTGTCCTCTTGGGTTTCCCATAATTCCCCACTCACCCGTCCAAAATGCTAAAAACAACACATTTCAAACTAATGGCCTTTTTCCAGTACCTACGAACCCCTACGCAGTTTAGAAATGGAAGTTAGCAACTCCATTGCTGAATAAAAATGACAGTTTTGCAAAAACTGCTTCAGAATACCACACAACATTGTCCGATTTCCGTTCTACCCAGCATAATTACACCTTGATGCTCTAGATCTGTGACTTCCACTCTTTTCTGGAACCCCACAGTCCATCAAACATGTAAACCCCCTATCATGTTTCCACAGGAAACATAATTAGAAGATCAGTGGCAGAGTTCTTACCAAAAGGCTTGTCTTCTTCGGTCTTTGCTTCTCCCCCAGGGTCAAGCTCCGCCTCGCCCAGGTCACTGGAAGTGTCCTCTCTGCCGGGGGTTTCCCCCCTCTCCTCCACAGTGCAGCACAAGCCCAAGTGAAACTCTGTATCTTCATCCTGATACAGCACACAGAAACGCACGCTGATGGAAAAAGCAACCAAAGGAGTGGGATCCACTCGGCTGCTGTGGGGATGGGGTTGCGAACAGGAAGTGAGTCTGCAGCAAAAGGTTTCCTGGACTCCAGAGGAAACAACATGAGGTCAAGGAAAAATGGGAGGAGTCAATCGGGACTTTAAATAAGCAAAAATAAACAGCCATAAATCAACAGTATCATTGTCGTGAGTGGCATTTTTCTGAAGGGCTAAAAAGAACAACAATAATAATAATAATACAGTTTATTTTTTAGTTGTGATTTGAAATGGGGGAGTGAGTCGATGTTTCTGAGTTGGGATGGTAATGAATTCCAGAGACGGGGAGCAGAGCGGCTGAATGCTCTGCTCCCCGTGGTACCGAGACGGGCGGAGGGGACAAACAGGTGTATGGAGGAAGAGGATCTGAGCGAGCGGGAACATGGATACGAGCGAGGTTGTGGATGGACTTGAATGTTAGCAGGAGAATGTTTATTTGAATACGGAACTGAACCTGGAGCTGTTGGAGGATAGGAGTTACGTGGAAGATCGAGGGGGTTTCGAGTTATGATGCGGGGAGCTGAATTATGGACCAGTTTGAAGTTTATGGAGGGATTTGTGAGGGAGACCGAAGAAGAGAGAATTGCAATAATCCAGACAGGAAGTGACAAGGCTGTGAACGAGGATAGCAGCAGGGTGGGGGGTAAGGACGGTTGACGTTTCCAAGGTAGAAGTAGGCAGACCTGGTAATGTTTTTGCTGTGGGATTGAACGGATAATGTCACAAGCCGCTAAGACCTCAAATTCAAAGCACACTTAATGCAAATGGATGAATGCATTCAAACTGTGGAGGTGTGGGATGAAATTAGCTCCTGTGTTTCAGTGTTTGCCCTATTAAAAAAAGCTCCTATCCTCAGCATTTAGGATGCCGTCTGCTCTAACTATGTGCTACTTACATACTTCAACATATCAATCTGTTTGCAACCCTAAAAAGCAAAAACACTTACATTAACTATCAATCCTTAAACTGGTCTGGTGTTTTGAAATCCAGGGTTAAATTACTAAACAACCAAGCTCCTTGCTCAGTTATTATACTACATGGTTTCATCAGAAATTTCAATAGGTTTAGATAAGATGCTGGCTCTAAAAACAACTGTTTAGGAGGAAAAAGTGTCAACTAATGTGAGACTAACCATGCAATATTATTAAAGATTATATAAACTTCCAATAGTGGGACAAATTGTTGATGATGAAGGATAGGATTATGGATAGCTTAAAGGAGTGTTTACCTGACACGGGCTGTCCAGGTCAGGTGGAGAGTCACTGCCTCCCACGATTCTTCTGTTGACCAGATCTATCTCACAAACGTCTGCTGTCTCCATTAGTGTTGATCCAAAGCTAGAAAAATCACAGGGGTCGGGACAGTTACAAATTTGTCTGTCACTAAGTCATATTATTCTAATTTGTTTCACGGATGAGAGTTCTAGGTTACTGGTTTAGTGCAGTGTTTCTTAGATGACATTGCTCTGCTTAAGCCAGTATGTCGACAGACCAACAAGCACGCTGGAGACGTTCAGGGATGTGGGAATTCGTAGGGGAAAAAAAATACTATAACGTCCATTTAAGTTTAGCGACCCAAGGCAACAATTCATCATAACCAGCAATTCCGGGAGAGCAAAATTAATCGTGAAATGTTGAACACTAAAGGAAAATCTGGAGTGACGTTGAACCACCACAGGTTAAGACGGCGCGCGTGGCTTTGTGCCATCTCTGTTCCGGGTCAGGTTAGCGACTTAGCTACAAGTACAGCAAGCCTTTAGTACTGAACTCTTCTCGATTCGCTTCCACTAACGTGTGTGACATGTCAATATAGATCACAGTGCATTCTTCTCAGCATAGAGAACAGACAGGTTGACGTGGAAAGACTCGCGTGATTCACGGCTTTAATGCAACGCAAAAAAGGGGCAGCTAGCATAAGCTAACCCTGGTTAGCAATGCTGGCTAACACTAGAACTAAACTTCCCGAGGATTTGCAGACGTGTGACGCTGAAAACAAAGGCTAAATCGCCGGGCTAAGAACAGGAAGCCACAAGCTGTCTTACAATTAGTCAAATCTGAATGGTACAAGACCAACAGCCTGTTTTCGTTTGCTACACATGAAGCGTTTACCTGGATGTTTTCAGTGTGGACTGATCGGAAGCAGCAGCACACAGTCATCAGCGGCGCTGTGCATCACTTCCGGTCTGTTTTTCAAAGTAAAACTATGCCTGAAAGCTTAGACAGGCTGCTTTCAAAGTCCTCTTCACCATCTCAGTTAACGACGCCAGATGTCCTGTGTTTTTAATGAACAAATGTATCTAGTTTCCTAATTCTAACCGCGTGACATTGTGACTTTCAACTGCAATCCTTTACAGCATTGAGGCTCTTCAGTTGTTAGCCTAAATGTTTTTTAAAAAGATAATCTCTATGTGTTTGGGTTTGGTTGAAGTAAATGAATATATTAACTGGAATAAACAATGGATTAACCAGCAAACACAACTGTCTACTCCCTTTCTACATCTTGGTACATGGCATTATACAAATATCCCTTTTAATGTGAAAGAGAAATGTGCTTCCCATTTTGTCTCCAAAAAAGGTGAAAATCAAGCACACTTTCTGTCAAAAAGAATGAGTCTGAATGACAAATCTTGGTATAAATCTGTGTTAGACCAGAGCACTAGTGTAACAGCAAGTTTTTATGCACATCAAGTTTCTCTTTGACCCTTTAAAAGCCCAGTCCCCCAGAATCCACATTGACAACTGGTTGAACTCGGCCATGGCATAAAGGTAGAGAATCTGCCTAAACAATACAAAATGCTTTAAATATGTAAAGATAAAAGGAAGTATGAATTCAAAAGGTGCCGTGAATAACAATAATGATTAATAATAAGAGACAGAACCTTAATTGCACTGTTATGATATTGAGTGTTGTGTAACACAATCAGTGTAGTTTGTGATAATAAAAGAAAATGGTAGGCAGAGTCTAATCTCTTTTGTAACAACATGTGCAGGGCATAGTGTCTGGAGGTTCTTCAATTGTGGTTTGCACAGCCCTTCTTAAAGGGGAAACATCCAACTCAGTGTAACAACCAGATGAAATGACACTTTTGCCATTCATGGTATTCCTCTCCCTCCATCCCAAGCTCTGCTTTCACGTAGATAAGTTGTTTTTTTACCATGTTGCAGTAAGCCATTGCAATGCAGTAAGTAAAACCAAATGGAAGGACTTTTTACAATCTTATAATAGAAGCGACATTGGAAGTTAAGATACACATTGATTCCACCTCTTTTGTATAAATGACTTCCCTGCTTCAAATGGTCAGGATAATTTAGTCAGATATCTTAAAGTTGTCCCATATGCCCTGCAGATATATTTGTAGGCTGAATTTAGCTGATTTGATGGAAACTCATGGAACAAATGCATACAAATGCTAAAGCTCCCTGAGGGCCAACGCTTCCTGCGGCGTACCGCTAGGGGGCGCTCGTGTCGCGCAATTCGGTCAAACTCATCAAACGAGACTTGTTCGAGTCGCCTTCAGCCCACACGGTTTTCCCCACTTTTAGAACATTAGTCCCAGCCGTCCTTCTCCCCCAGCTTGGGCTGTTCCGCTTTGTTTGACCCAGAGTCCGAACAACGCCCGAGGCTAATGTTTTAGTCGTCTGTCATTGTTTGACGAAGCTTTGCTGGGTGTGAGCTCTCCGTTTCGCATTAGTTTGTTAAAACGCGACTTACAGGTAGAAAGTTGAACGTTTCAGTTTTTGAACTAAAATAATTTGCATGTATAGACTTCCAGTTATTTGGTATTGTCAACATGATTAGACATGCTACGCGGTATTTTTCTAAAAGTTATGCTTTTTGGTTCTGCAGGGAACAGCTGTAGACTACCACCGGGCAAATTCATTTGGGAGGGCTTTACTCTGCCAACCAATCAGCGAGCTGTGTGTGTTCTGGCAGCAGAATCCGATTGGGTCAAATTAGTCAATTGCCGTGTGACCAGTCTCTGATTGGCCAGACGGGTTTATCTAAACAGTAAAGACCCGCCTATTTTTTTTTCCTCTCAGGGGCCGTCGGTTTCCATCCAGCCGAGAGGGAGAAAAAAAAAGGATAGAAAGAGAGGAACCGGACTGAGAACTGGCAGATAAAAGGGTCACTGGAGCCGCACCTCGTGGACTTAAACACATTTTACACGAGATTTTAAGGAGAGCTCTAACCTGCTTCTTTAAAGGTACGTTCTTATGAGCTATTGTTAGTACAGTGGCTAATAATTCAACCGAGCCCGCTGATTGGAGCCGCCGGGGGTGTCAGATGACACCAAATCATGTTCTTTAGATTTTCTCCACATCCCTCGGCGTTAGCCTCGTGGCGTTGTGTCCACCTGTGTGTGTTAGTGCTGTGTTGGCAGACTCTGTGGAGGCTCCTGCCCCCCCCTCTCCCCGGGGTCTGTCTGCGGCTAACTTCCCTCCCGCTGCTGGTCCCCGACACAGGCTGCTAGCTCCGGCGCGTGAGACCGGAACCATGGCGGCCCTCCCAAGGGGGGCCGACGGGCAGGTGAGCCAGCTGCACGGGTCCGGTGTGGCCGGAGCCCTGCCCGGCCTTGGTTAGGCTGTGGGTGCCGTGGGCTCAACCTGACGTCTGGAGCCGGTTCCAGCCCCTAGCGGAAGGTCTCCCCCGTCTGATATCTGCCATGTCTCCTTACAACCAGGAGCAGATGGCTCACAGTAAGGCTCAGACAGATGGGGAACTGATGTTTGCCGTCGTCATGGAAACGGAGGAAGCTTTACTTCAAACATCAGAGTGGGACTGCAAATGTAAAAATGACCATATATTGAAGATAAAAGTGGCTAAAACTGCACCTGGGTCTGTGAGTTTCAGACCTTTTAAGAGCAGAAGCTAGTGACCCGGCTGATTAAAGCTTTGTTTATTCCCTCTCCATGCGGGCCTGGCTGGCTGACAGCAGCCTCAGCCTTCCCCGTTAGGAGGCAGAAAGCAATCTGAGGTAGCGCTGTGGTGGAGCCTGGTTTCTGGATGCCGGGTTCCCCCCCCTCCCCGTGTGGGCCCTGGCCCAGCCTCTCTGGTATGTGGTCTGTGTTGAACCAGCAGGCCGTTTGTTTGCCCGTCTTCCTGTGTGGAGTATCAACATCCTGTCATTTTTGTCACTCCACCCACTGAGCGCCGGGCCAAAGCGGAGCAGCCCAGCCTCTCCGCCGCTGCTGCCCCGTTGGTTGGTTTTCAACCCCGGAGATGTGGTGTTTTTTTTCTCCGGACGGAGATGTTTTCTCCCGCTTTGTGAGCAGAGCAGCCCAGATCTGGATCTGGCTCTGAGCGCCGTGTGAGGAGCGCTGTTCTGTTTGCTGTGTTGAAGCCAAGGGGTGGGTGTGTGTGTGTGGTGTCGGCCTTTGTGCTGGGCCCACGGTGTACTTTGGCTTTCCTTGGCATGCCGATCCCCTCACCTTGTTTACTTTCCTCATAGCATCTCCTTTAAACGTCCGCCTTTCCTTTGTTTTCCACCCACCCCGCTCTCCCGCTGTACGTCATCTGTCAGCTTTCCTTCATACCTGACCTTTCCACGCTGGACCCGCCTCTCGGCTGGCAGCAGCCCCCCCCCCTTCCTGTGGCCCCGCCCCCCCGTAGCTGAGCTATGTAGTGATTTCAACATCCAGACCACTGTAAAGGTTTTCCTTCCACTCGCTTCAGTCGGAGACCTTCTTCCTGTCTCCACACGAATCCAAAACTGAACGACGGCATTCAGGAACATCAGAATATCCTTTTGGATTTACACTCCTCTCCTTTGTCAGTATTACCTGGATATTGGTCTGCCAGTGCCCACCTTTCATATATACTGAACATAAAACTATCCATGTCACCACCAGTGGATACCCACTGATAAGCATACAGGTGTTTAGGGAGGAAGTGGTATGTTTGTCATCCATCCATCCATCCATTATCTATACAGCTTATTCCAAGCAGCATCACAGGGGCAGGTCTGACAGTCCAACATCTGGCTGCTGCTGCTTCTTGAGTCCAGATGCACTGACTGGACCTCACGGCCTCATCTGAGGTCAGTCGGCTGTATAGAATAAACTGTCTGTCTACTCCCAGACCACAGACCAATATCCAGCCTCGGACTGATGGAGGCTGTTTCCTGGGGAACAAGAAGCCCCCCCCCCCCCCCCCTCATAAATCCACGTTCGCGTCCCGGTCACCAGCATCCTCTGAGCCGCTCGGCCTTCCTTACCGCTTTTTTACTCTGTCCGCTTCTTGGAACAAACTCAATAGCTGCACTCTTTGCTCTCGACCCTTCTAGGCTGACCTGCCTTTGTTTGTCTTCAGCACCTGCAGCTCGGGTTCCTAACAGGCTCTAAGGTGAGACGGGAGTCTGCTCGCCTCCTGGACTGAGCCCCGTCCTGTCGCCCGCTGCTCCAGCCTTTTGCGTGATGCAGAGCTTCAGTGTCCAGAGCTTCTGAGTGATGGACGTTGATGGATTCGTGTAGAATTCCTTCACCCATTAGCATTAGAACGATTCCCATGCTCCTTTTCATTTTGTCCACTGATGAGCTCATACAGACTAGGATCATTCACTGCCAGGGTTTAGCTCAGGAAGGCTAAGACGGGGCTATGTCTTTAGCCTGACATGTAGAAAAAGCTTTAAATGGAGATATGGGGCAAACTGGTGTCCTGGTTCTGTTTGGCTGATGGGGGAATCCTTTCAGTGAATGGCACCAGTTGTAAAATTATAATGTTTTGTGCCAGGCGGCTGTCATCGGTTCTGTTGACAAAGTGAACACTGAGGGAGGTTTTCTCCTTCTTTTCACCACCTCCTGCTGATGTTTAGCTTTGTTGCTTTAGCTTAGTTGCTTAACATCTGGGCCTCAGCGTTCTGTGGTTGGGAAACTTAGATACTGGAGAATATCCAAAGGACATTTATCAGGAAGAAAATGTTACATTTGGGCAATCTGAAAACCTAAAGGACCTTAAAAATGGGGGGAAAGGCTCCAGACAGAGAGCTGCTGAGAGCTTTTAGTTTTTGGAGGGAGCGCTCTGCCAACTGAGTAGTGGAGTAGTGTGTCTATGTTTAGCTGGGAGAGTTTAGGAGGGGATAATTATGGCGAGCAGCAGAGGTTGAGCGGGAGCAGGGGGAGGCTTTGGCCTGCTTCTGTCACGGAGAAGCCTCACGTGCACAGCGGTGCTGCTATGGCTCACTGGCCACATACAAAATGAGTTTTTAGTCGACTTTTTTAGTAGACCAGGCCTTCTTACAGCCGCTCAAAGCTCAGGCTTGTTATTGAAACCTTTGTATCGATGAATTTTGTGTTTAATTGGTCGGTAGAACTCGTGTTGTAATATAATTTTTTTCCCCTGACCTTTCTGTGGGACAAACGGCAGCATGATTATGATGAGTCCAGAAAATCATCTGGTTCGATGGCACGTCTGCATTCATTTTTTTCTGTTTGCGATCGTGTTGAATTGGCTGTGAAACCATTAACGCACCGAAACACACAATCACCACACGGCCGACACTTCCTGTCTGACAGGAACCACCGGAAGTGACGGCTTTTGGTGGCCTCGACGGGATCTGTCCTCCAGATGTGGTGAATTGGAGGAGCAGATGGCTGGGGTGGGGGGGGTAAGGGGGGGTCTTCTCTGAAAGCTGCTGCTTATAGTGGGGAGTGGCAGCAATTCCTTTAGACCAGGCTCTGTGTGGACATCCTTTGAACAAAGAGACTTGAATTCTTTATCTCTTCTGGTCACTGACAAAACCTGCTGTTATTCAGCTATGAAACCAAACACACACACACATATATATATATATGTGTATGTGTGTGTGTGTGTGCCTAAACACAGAGGGCTTAGAGATTAAACCTACAGTCATGGGAAACATTTCCAATGTTCCAGCTTCTGGTGAAAGATTTGGATACAGTGAGCAACATGAACTCCAGTCAGTCCAGTCACACACTGTATGTGTGTGTGTGTGGGATCCCCTCCCCCACCTGTGTGTTCTTTTTGATGGTATGGAGACAACAAGGAGCCCAGCAGCCTCCTTGAGTCGGAGGGCTGTGAATTTGTTCAAACCTCTGAAAAGCTATTTTTTTAAGTTCCGCTTTTCCCACAGCAGAGAAATATCTGGCTTTGATAACCTCGACTCTAAAAGGTTTCGAGCTCATGTCTGGCGTGTTATGAAATCAACCTTTTTAAGCTTCTCAAAAACGAAGCTCCAGTGTGAGGATTTCTCTCCCCGGGGGACACATGGAATCCATTTTTCACACGTGCGCTGCAGTACTGATGTTTTCCACAGGGTTTTCTGGAGGAAGGGTGTGTGTATTTGTGTGTGTGTGTGTGGGAGAGCAGATGTGTCCAAAGTTTGCTCCAGACTTTTCTAGCCAGCCTATGGGGAAGTGTCCGGAGGGACCCGGGCTGAGATGAGCTGGATCAGCTGACCTAAGAAAAATAAATCGCCAATTTTTACGGCGTTTTTATGACCCGTCGGAGAAAAAGTAATTCCAGTCGGCCAAGAGGGGGACAAGAAGGCAGCACAGGCCGGACCGGACTGCGGTCCCAGGCTCTCAGCCCCTGCGCACACCCCTGTGCAGTCAGGGAGTGACCGCAGTCACTCTGAGGGACACTGTGAGCAGGCCACAGGGTGTGTTCTCATCTCAGGTTCTGTCAATGAAGGCTGCTGGCCGTGTTCCCTCAGCCTGAGTAAAAAAAACTGTAACTCGGTTTGAAATGAAAGCGTCCTGGCTGGAAGTGATCACTTCTAGTGGCGTTCCATCTCCTGAGTAAAGCCCAAGCGTCCACCTCACTGACTGGGCTTTGGTAGTAGATGCTTTGCGTCTGACCCGGTGCACTAACAGGAAGGCGTTTCTTCTTCTTGTGATAATTATTATGACGTATACGGGTACCTTTTCTGTCAGTCCCTCCTGACCCTTGGCTGTAGGTGGCCAGCCTACAGTGGCCGGCCTACGGGACAGCCTTATGGCTCGTGTTGACCAGCAGAGACGGTGAGGGGCACGGTGGATCCACCTGCTGGACCCTGTGCGGGGGGTGGGCCAGAAGCTCCACAATATGAATGCAGGGAAATCCTCATCTCTGATCTGGTGAAGTCAGAGTCGGGTTTACTGGAGAAGGTCGACGATCGATCTCCCCTCCAGTTCGACAGGCTTCCCGGTTGGCCGGCACATCCTGGTGGTCAGCCCAGTGGAGACCTTCTGTCCAGCTGCGCACGTGGCTGCTCTCGGGTCGGTTGCTTCTGTGGGTTAAGTCTGTGGTTTTCTTCTCTGTTCTTTGTGTGTTTGGTATGGTTCCGCATTTGATTCTGTTCTGTCTTATTTTCCTGCTGTTCCTCACTCCGCTCCGGTTCTCCGCAGTCTCTCAGCTGTGATCCTTTACGGGTCCGATTCTCATCTGGTTCCTTCTCCAGTCCGTCGGTGTTCCGTCCGTCATCTCGTCCCTTCCGTGTGTTTCCTCTGCAGGTTTTTCACCCACAGTGTTTTTTGGCTTCAATGCTTTCTATTTAGGATTTATGATAGATGTCCAACTGCTTGTGCCCTGGCTCCGTATCTGGGCCCTTTCCACCTTCTACCTCCTTCTTCTAAGTAGGTATAAGTCTAGTCTCTAAGGTCAATGTGTATGTGCTGCTTGGTCTTGCAGTAGTAGAATATCAAACTTCAAGCTGGAGTGACTTTCTCAGGCTTCTTCTGTGAGCAGGGTTCACAGCTCCTTCCGTTGGATGACAAAGCTCAGTAGTACACGTGCCAAAGCAAACAAAACCCCCAATGAGCTGAAAATGAGAACGTGGTTCCGCTCAGTATTTCAAGTAACCACTGGAATTTTGAGGCCAAACCCTGCTGACCTAGAGTAGAGCGCCGCCTGGTGGCTTTGGCACATCCTAAGCACCCGAAGACATGCCAGGCCAGGCCAGGCCACTACGGTCCCACTACGCTTCGCTGAGCTGGACACTGACACTCTGCTGTGACTTAAACCCAGTAAAGGACTCCCCTTCCTCTCTTGTCCCTCTCAGTCTCCCTCCCTCTAAACAAAGGCTATATTTAAACTGTAGCTCCTTTTTAGAGCCTGTCCTTGAAGAGCTGTCTCTAGAGACTATCCTGTGCTAGGTCCAGATTAGCCTTGCGGCCTTAGTAATACGACCCTGTGTGAATGAAACCGGTTGCACCGAGTGTGTGTGTATGTGTGTGCTGGTATGTAGGATGCATCCTGAGCTTACATCCTATGGAGGGGCAGAGTCATAGCTCAGGAATGCGTCGGGTAGCTTGCTACGGTGGAGCCTCTGGCTGCAGCAACACCCGGGGCCCCACGGGAAGTGAACGGACTGTTATGTGCTGCTAACCGTGCACACGCACCGTTTAGTCCAGAGCCCGTTTAGAACCCGGCTGCTGGTTTCCGAGACCTGGAGCCACTCCGTCTGCAGCTAGCAGGACTCCTGTGACCAGTGGCTCCAGTTTCGAGTGGCTCGGACTTTCTGTTGACCGGTCGTGCCGTGGAACCTGATCAGTATAGTAGCCCTGTCTGCCCTCTCTAGGAAAGTCTAACCCAGGGACCTCACACTTAGGGGGCCTCCAGGGCTGCCGTCCTTCCGGTTTTAGATGTCTCCCTGCTTCCACACACCTGATTTGGAATGAATGGGTGCCCTTAAAAGACGGGCTCCCGCCCAGGCCTGCAGATAATGGGAACCGGCTGTGCTGAGGCAGGGGAACACCACATTCCTGTAGGCCAGCAGGCCCCCCAGGATCCCCAAGTTTCTGCAGCCAACCAGAGAACCCCGTTTTGCCTTCATCCGCTGATCTCCAAACCAAAGGATACACCACAAAAGCTGCCTCTGATCATTTCCCAACGGGAAACAGGAGCTGAGGAATGACTTCATCTAAACTAAAACAAACAGAGACCAAAGGAAAAGGCATGAAAATATAAAAGCAACATCTTCTGTTTTTATCTCTGGAGAATCTCAAATAGAAAGCCATTCTGACAACAAGGGCATGCAGACTGACTTCATTCAGCCAGCTCGATCATGTCTGTCTTTTTCATGGCTGACTTCGGTCCATTAAGGCCCAGCTTTTTCTGTCACGAGCTTCGGCCCAAACCCATCGCACTTGTTGTGAACGTGAGGAGTCCAAACGGTCCATCACGAGATGCTGTGGTTGCGAAATGAGGATGTTTTTAGATCGGAGCAGCCGTCTGGACAAGTGGGAGTCTTTATGGACTAGCTCTTCAGTCAGTTTCCTCCAGACCTAGCACCCAAACATTGTACAATGACTGTTTTTCTAAAGGAGATCCTCTGACTTCTGCTGGTCAGCATGTTCTGCTGGTGCTGTCTAGCCAGTCTGTAGTTTGTTTGTTTTTTTTTTTGGGGGGGGGTCTGCCTTTTCCACCAATAGGGATTCAACTCTGCAGAAGCTGATACTAGCAAAGGCAGCTGGTACTCTTTAGCTCCTGGCTACTTCAAGCATGATAAAAAACCAAGTGGTCGAGTCCTGTTTTTTAAAAACATTTTTTTAAGCTCTGCAGGGCTGTAGCAGCTGGGCTCAGCATAAGGCTTTCCCAGCAGCTGTGTGGAGAGCACACCCCGTCACAGGCACATCATTGGCTACCTACGAACTCTGACTTGTTTTCCAGCATTAACCCAAGTCCATCAAGCACAGCTTGAATGCGCTACAAGCCAAAGCAGCTGTTGGCAGGTTGTTCTGGTCAAGCCACTGGCTTCCAAAACAATAAGCTGTGCAACCAAAATGATTAAAGAGCCAGCGCACGTTTTGTGCTCATTTCAGGGGGTCTCACCCATGCCTCAGGGCCACTACGAGGTGCTTCTGTAGGCCTGCTTGTCAGTCCCTACAAGGCCGCCCATGCATATGTATTCATTCTCCATCCCACGGGTCCAAAGGTCTCAAAGAAAGAGGCTATTTTCCATCAAGACTGCATGAAAATGGGAGTTCTATGGAACGAAGGAAGGCGGTGAGTCAGCCAAAAGGAACGTTCCTCTTTTCCGACTGTGTGGTTAACCTTAGAGGCCGGGCCGGCCCCACGGGGTAAAGAGGCCGCTCTCCCCTCAGAGCCGGCGGAACACAGGACCCAGCACCGAAGCCCCCCCCCCCCCCCCCCCCCCCCCCCCCCCCAAACACACACACACGGGGGAAATCCTTTGTAGCTGCTGGCTGAATCTGTCTCTGCTCAGACGAGCCCACCCCCCTCAGAGTCAAACCACCCTGCAGTCCGAGCCACCACTGGCTTTTTGGCCGATGGTGCCCGGCGGAGACCGAGGGTGGGGCTCGCGTGGAGGCCGGCCAAAGAAAAGAGTCCCGGCGAGGGCGTGTGCGCGCGGCTCTGCTCCAGCTGTAAAAACGGCGTCCCGTGAGCCGCAAACCGAGCGGGACTCCAGTCCGCCCGCTGGAAACCCGAGCCTCTCCTCCGGTCATGGATACTTTTGGTGTGGTGGAGTTAAGCTGGCTGCCACTCTGGCAGTTTCGTCATCGGGACTTTGTGTTGTTGCAGATTGTGCGAAATAAATACAGAAAACCGCCTGACAGGGAAGCAGGGAAACCTGTTTAAAACAAAAAAATGTCACTCATTTGTCTTCTTTTGTATCCGTTTTCCCCTCAGACTCAGCTTAAACGTCATCTCTCTGCTCTTGATAACAGCTTCCATTATTCCTCTGGTTGTTTTTCTCTCTTCTCTGACAGTTTCTCTTGTTCTTAAGCCCCTCAGAGTTTCCAGCTGTTCCCTCAGACTTTTGTGTGATCAGTCACTGAGTCTCCCGACTCCCACATGGACTTTTCCTCGGCTCCTCCACGTCGGTGGGCGTCTGTAGGCCTCAGTAACAGCTTCTCAGCAGCTCTTCTTCCCCTTAAAGCCTTCTTCCATCAGTCCTTCTGGAGACTTTCACAAACTCTGACCCGGTAGCGTTCATCAGAGCTCTTCCTTCTGTCTCTGATCCTCCGGATCAGCTTCATCAACTGTTGTTTGCTGCCTCTTTCCTGGCTCAGGTTGGACTCCAACGCACACCGAGGACACTTTGTGGGGTATTTTTGTCTCCGAGAGCATCCTGTGTCATGAGGAGCTTTTCATTCATTTAAAATCAACTTCAAAAATCAAAATCAACAATTTCCCTTGTTTTTTCTCACGAAGTTTCAGCCAACTCGAGTCAGAAATCCCTCAAGCAGAATGTTCAACCACTCAAACTGTCTTTTCTGTTAGGAATCAAAGACAATCCGACATCTTTATCAGAAATAATGATGTTCTTTACAATGGTTTGATGTGTAAGAGTTGATTAGTTCACAGTGCAGCCTGTTGGCTCTCCTGAGAACATGCTGATGGTCTTTAACAGGCTTATGATACATGTATTTGCCCCCTCTCATCCCTCGGACACCAATGCTTTGGTTCCCAGTGGGTTCATCCTACACTCCAGGAACAGGAAGCAGAGCTACTCTTGGCAGTGTTAACGAGTTAGGAGTTACCTTTACCATAATCAGGCATTTCTCTTCAGTGCGTCTCCTCCCAATCTGTGGTTCAAAGATGAATTTTGTCTTTAAAATTATGCGAGTTGTAAAGAAACGAGTCATAGGTTAAGAGACGCACTGGATTAAATTTGAAAATCAGATTAGATTAAATCAGATTTTGGCCAGAAAGGATATTTTTGGTTAGAAGAGCTGTAGTTGACAGAATTCATTTAGGTTATTATTATGGCTGCCAACAGCCAAGGCATTAAGACTTGCACATTAAAACAAGTCTCTGTCTGAAATCTTAAAGGAACAAAGAAAATCCAGGACCTGCAGAGTGCAGCAGTATTTTACAGCATATGTTAATCCTTCCTGTGTTGGGTATTATTAGAATTGTTATTAAAATTCAGGAGTCAGCATTTGTATTTTTACATGCAATGCCTTGGAGCGTCTCTGGAAGATTTGAGGGCTGCGGTACTTTAGGTAGTCCGTTTCTGTGCTGTAGTCAGGACCCCCAAGACCAGAACCACCCCTCAGAACCAGGCCAGGCACAGCAGAACCGACTCCGGCTGGATGGTAAAGCCACGCTCGTTGTTAATGTGTGTGTGAATGTGGGTGTGAATGTGTTCATCAGATCGGAACACAATGAGCAGCCCGGGTGCTCGGACACACCCCTCGGATTTATGGTGCCAGATGGACCTCCAAACGGCCGGACAGCCGCGGTGATTGGTTCTGAGTCTCTGGCATATGAGCTGTGGGGGGGCTGGAGCAGGTATATGGGAAAACCAAAAAGGAGAAACAGCTTTTACCACATAAGAAGGTGCTAAAGAGGTGAGAACCGCCTCTGAGAATCTTCTTCTTCATGTGGAAACGCACTTCTAAGGTGGTGACGTCACCTAGTGTGCTCTAGAAACCCCACTCTTTGCTAAGCGAACTCTTCATAGAGACGCTGCCTCACTGGGTGTGCTGTTATTTCTCTCCGTTGTGGCTGGACTAGACCTTTTTAAACATCTCAATGCTGCATGCAGAGCTACGTATTTTCGCTTCCAGATGAGCTCAAATTTGGGCTGCTCACCTTTTAATGGTAAGAGTGGTCAGTTGCTCTCCTCTGAACACCGACAGGAGAGGGATTTTTCTACAAGTGTCTCCATTTAGGGCAGCAGTTCGTGCTTGCCAGGACTTGCTGTGTTGTAAAGTTCCCCAGATGGAGGTCTTTTCCCCTCCATAAGGAGGCAGAGGAAAAGGAAGCGTTACTGTCCACTAACATGTGTGTTTTCTTCTTTGGATTTAGTAACCGAGGATGAAGATGCCGTCCTGATCTCGGCGTTGATGAACCGGCCCCCCGCCCCCTCTTCTCCCTCGCCGCTCTCCTCCACACCACCGCCGTCATGAACCACACCCCCAGCCCCCACCTCTCGGAAGGCGGCAAGTCCGGCGGCGGGCTGATGTGCAGCCTGGGCCTGGGGTCCGACCGGGGGGTCCGCTCGCCGGACAGCCTCGCCCACACCCCGAGCCCCACCGGCGAAACGCCCAGCTCCAGCCCCCCGCTGCTGCTCTCGCCCGGGCTGGGGGGCCTGGGGGGGCTGGGGCTGGGCTCGCTGGGGGCCATGGGCGAGGGAGCCGGGGCGGACTGGGAGAGCCGCGAGGAGCTGAGGCTCCGGGAGCTGGAGGAGGCCCGGGCCCGCGCCGCCCAGATGGAGAAGACCATGAGGTGGTGGTCGGACTGCACCGCCAACTGGAGGGAGAAGTGGAGCAAGGTGGGCAAGCTTTAGCTCTGCAATGAGCAAAACCCGCCGAGCGGGTCCATTAACTCATTGACTGCCAGCCATTTTCAGAACAGCGAGTCCCATACTGCCAGAGTTTTTTGAGCATTTTGACTGATTTTTCAAGAGCCACAGAATAGTTTGTGCTATGACTATTTAAACACCGAACACACCAAAAGAAAGAATAGACTCTCTTCTTTCATCAGGAAAAAAAAATGGTTTCTACCTTATTCCGTTCCTCCGCGACTTGCGTCTCACCGGCGCCATTCCTCGCATAGCGAACCATTACGTTTTTCTTATTTGCCTACAATCTATGCTAATCTCCCATCAAAAGTGGCACTGCTGCCTAGAGGGTCAATTTGTTAGTACATACCCTGTCTAGAAGCCTGATATTTACGGAAAAGCTTTAGCAGATCGTCCCCCAAGCCACTCGCGTTGAAAAACATAAAAGACGTCTATAGACGTCTTTGGCAGTCAACGGTTGTATTTGAATTGATGTCTATAGACGTCTTTGGCAGCCAATGAGTTAATTCTTTGATTGGACCCGGTCCTTCTGCAGGTTCGAGCAGAGCGAAACCGGGCGCGGGACGAGATCCGCCAGCTGAGGCAGCGGCTGGACACCCTGACCAAGGAGCTGAGCGGCGTGCGGCGGGAGCGGCAGGAGCTGGGCGCCGAGAACGAGCTGCTGCGGCAGGAGACCCTGCGTCTGCGGGGGGACCACCCGGCCCAGCCCCCCGCCGCCACCTCCACTCCCTCGCCCTCGACCTCCCCGGCGCACGCCGCCTGCTCCTCCTCTTCCTCCTCCGTTTCCCCCCCTTCCCCGGCCCCCTCCTTCTCCTCCCCGAAGCTCCACGCCGATGGCAAGCCCGACGGGGTCAGGGAGGGACCGCCGGGATCTCCGGAACCCGAACCCGTCCGGGACGTGGACAGAAAAAAGATGAGCCAGAAGAAGGTGAGTGGCTGGCTGGTTAGTGTGTGGATCGTGCTCATTTGCCGGGAAGACCCCAGATCTTTTCTCTCTCCGTGCCAAAAGCAGGCCGACGTTTAGGCTTTGATGGTCGAGTTCTGGTCCAGTGACATCACCAAGTAGAGCTGTAGCCACAGCTGGACCCAACTATGCTTGTCACAACTAGGGTTGTCACGATACTAAAATTTTCAACTCGATACCGATACTCAGGAAAATACTCAATACTATTTTTTTTATACCACAAGGATAAAAACAAAGACCCCAAAATTTAACAGAATTTCGACAGGTTATTGTCTTTCGTTTTCAAATTTGCCTAATACTGATGTTATTGTTATCACCCCTTCTCTATCTCTGCCCCCTTTCCTGTCAAACTACTGTCATTAAAGGCCACTAGAGCCAACAAAATTTAAAATTTTTTTTTTTTTTAAAGAAAATGAGTATCGTATCCGGATACAACGTTTTAGTATCGATACTTTTGACAACCCTAGTCACAACTAGCCCCCTCCTACGGGTTAGAGGCTAGACCTTACCCTAACCCTAGCCCCTGACCTAGTTGTGGGGGGTCCCAGCTGTCTCAGGCCCTGATGGGAGCTTCCTCTGTAAAAGTCCGCAACACACCTAAGCATGGCACAGCCTGATCCTGCCAGGGGAAACGTTTCATGTGGCCTCATACGTCTGCTGCTAGTGGGACCTGAATGTTACCTGAGCTTTGGAGAATTCGTGTCACATCCCTTGCTGTTTTCCTCCACCGTGGAAGTTCTCGGGAGGGTTTGACGTTGGCTTCCCTATTCACGAGAATAAGTAGGTCATTCTTACACCCCTTTACGGACTGGCTCTACCCCAACCTTCACCCACCGACAGCTGGGATAGGCTCCAGTGCGCCCGCGACCCAGCAGCGTAGACGATGGAATAAGGGATCGTTTTTCCTGGATAAAGATGGTACTTTCTCATCCTTTAGGGCTCCACGAGACAGTCGGCTGCTGTCCTGGACAGACCGTTGTAAACGTGAACCTCCCTCTACCTCAGCTCACACATAGCCGAGTTCAGATAGGATTTTTGGCAGTGGGTGCAGTCACAGGTCTGAACAAATCCCACGTTAACGATGTGTTCGTGCACAGTTCTTTATACAGAACCTGAGGCGTGCTTATAATTAGGGCATCTGGGTTCCAGTATCCAAACACCACTGAACATAGCTTACAGGAACAAGGTTTCAGGGTTTAGTCTCAACAGATGAAGACGCACACACACACACACACGTATTTAAAATGGAGAGCTCCAAACAAACCATGCTAAACCGGGATACTGTGTCTTTCTGTGGTTACAGCAGAGGTGGTCTACGAGCGGCCGGATAGATGTTGCTCACACACAGCCTGGGCTCATTTCCTGTCTCCCTCCATTGTTCTGGTTCCCACACACACAGGGTGTTTTCTCATGTCTGCTGCACAACAGGGCCCTCTGTTGGCAGCTCACTGTAACAACGCGGGTGCCCTCATCATCATCCCCACGTTCCCTCTAATAAGACTGGGAAAGGTGTCTCGGTCTTTTTCTTGCTCTCCTGTAACCAGGGAAGTGATTCCTTTTATCTTTTAGCAGGTCTTTTGAATGGTGATCCAGTTCTGGCCCTGTGACCCACCTCAGACCAGTGGAAGGGGCTAGGGTTAGAGGGTCAGGGTTAGTTTAACGGCGAAGAACACCAGCTGATGGAACAGACATAAAAAATCATCCAAAGTCTCACCTCCATTGCCTCGTGCACTCGAAGACGTTGCACATACAGTAAAAGGCAAAGTGAATATCTCTGAATCGTTGTTGTGAATTTTGGAAGAATTCTAATGAATCGCAATTCAGATTGCAAGAAATTCAGGTTGCGTGGTCACTCCTGTAAATGCAGTCTGTACATGGTGCTGCCAGTCATCAAGGGGACGAGCCAGCCGTGTTTACCTTCATCAGTTTGCAGCTGCGTTTCAACATTTCCGATTTCCTCTCTAGGGTTTTAAGATGTGACCTGGTTCATGCTGTGTTTTTCCGATGGACCTGCTCCCGTGAACCAGGAGCTCTGGCCTACCTGATTGTAAAACCCTTTTGTCCCATGCACACATAATCAGTGTCGGTGCTCACTTATCATATGTAAGAGAAGCATGTAGGATTTCAGTAATGTATGTAGAACATGAATTCTGTGTCTGCAAACAGCTGCTCTGGAGCCATGTTTGTGTCTTGTCTGTCAGGATCGGGAGCTGTTGGAGTCGGTCCTGGCCGACGCAGACGGCTCAGAGACCTGGGAGAATCGGGCCGCCAACCCGGCCGGTTCGCGCTCATCCTCCGGCCTGAGCCGGCAGGAGCGCAGCCGCCAGCTGTGGGAGGACATGAGCATGGTGGAGGAGGACTCCAGCAAGCTGAACGCCCTGCAGCTCCGCATCGACGAGTCCCAGAAAGTCCTGCTGAAAGAGAGAGAGTGAGAATCCCGTCAAAGACGCAAAACCGTGCGAACACACCGGGTGGATGTCTTCCCGCTTAAAGGGAGCTTATTCTTTCCACATGCACCCTCAGGACGGGGCACCGGATCAGAAGGTTTTCATTAGCCAAAACTAGTTTAATTTCCTTTGACGGGGTTGCTGTAATGAATTAGATTTGAAATCCACAGACATAGAGAATACATTGAAAGGATTTTCTGCTATGAATAAAACATAGCTGATCTCAATTCACACATGGAGGCACATAACTGCTGTTATTATGCCTTCCCCATGGTGTTGTGAAAGGGCCAAACATAAGGCCACTCGTCTCGCAGCAGAGAAAAGTGGGAGCTATGTTAACTGATCAGCAGGGATTAGCTAATGAGGGGTAACCGCTCCGTTGACCTGGCTGGTAGCTCATCCCAATGAAACTACCATAGGTGTTCATCCATTGTCTTTCCTGTGCATTGAAATGGAAAGGTTAACCACTGTCATCTTTAAGCTGTAACCCACTGAATCCTTCGTTGGCTGGCCATTATAAGACCGGTTAACCCTAAAGAGACCAGTGGCTGATTTGGCTTACTCACATGAACTTATAGGTTTTATAGGTTGTATAAAATGTCACAAACTGTGGAATTCAGCTGTTCAAGGTATTATTTACTTCATAACTCAAATGTTTTTTCTGTGTATTCTCCAGAGACAAACTTGCTCTCAGTAAGAGTATTGAGAGACTTGAGGCCGAGCTCAGTCAATGGAAGCTTAAATACGAAGAACTCAGCAAGAGCAAACAGGAGGCCCTCAAACAGGTGAGACCCCACACATCACACCACTTTATTGTGAATTAAAGACCGTATAAAGGGATATAGTTACATGTTTAAATCCTATGATTATAGCAAAGAGTTCTCTGACATATCTTTATACCCTCAAGTGGATCTCAGCTACTGCTTTGGCAGAGCAGCACCACTAGGGAGCAGCCCAAACTTACAGAAATGAGACATGAGCTCTGTGGATGAACGATTAAATCAGCTCCATTAAACCGTTAGCAGGAATGAAAGGGTGGAAGCGATGAGTGTCTGACAGATGGAAAGCAGCATGCAAAAAATATGAGACTGTAGAGGTGAAAACTAAGACGCACATGAGAGGCTGACTGATTCAGGACAAGAGATGAGCATGGAGGGATGACAACGTCCACTATCACAGACTCTGTGTCTCAGATACTGTAAGACCACAGGGATCTCTTGTCCTCACAAATGGCCTGTCTCAATAGATGGAGGAGAGGTATTTTCCCGGAAATTAATTTAAAATGCTGCCATTTTTCAGAAAACGTAGTTTTGTAAAATGACGATGGGGACAGTGGCTGTCTTCTATGTCCTCCATAGACATGACTGTCCCTTACCGGTCCAGTCTTTAATGGTGGAACTCTTGCATAATGACTATGCAACGTAAATACTGGAGATTTGTGTTTCACTGCCTGGTGTTATTTTTATGATGCCCTAACAATAGAAGATCACTATAAGGACCTGAACCCTGACATTTAATTTGTCTTCACTCCTCCTGACGCCGTTTAGCTGAACCTGTTGAAGGAAATGCATCAGGACGAACTCGGCCGCATATCCGAGGATTTGGAGGATGAACTGGGGGCTCGCACCAGTATGGACAAGAAACTAGCCGAGCTCCGAGCCGAGGTAAGGACCGAAGAGCAACAGTGCCCGCTGCTCACGAGCAAAATGCTAGAACCTGTGTGTGATATGTCTCCCTTAAACTGGATCTTTTTCCTTAAAATTTCACATAATCTCTGAAAAATGTATGATTTCAACACTTGCTTTGTGCGTCAGAACAAAATCAGTTGTTCACAACAGCCTTGAAAATGCAAGGTATCAGTTTAAATTTAAAGTAAAACTGGAATCTACTGAAAACGTGCTCCTCTGAAGAACCTGAGCCACAGAGAGGGATCAGTTCTAGCTCTCAGAGCATGAACGGGAGGGATCTGAGAAATTACTTCTTTTTTTTTTTTAGCAGCAGCTAATGTTAGCAGCCCAACGTCTGAGGAGTAATTGCAGCTTCTTTCCGAAAGATGAGCATATTGTTAGGACTCACTGCCTTGCTGTTACCATTCCCCTCCCTCCCTATTTGTCCTTGATGTTGTGTTTTGACTGTATCTGTGCTCAAGTGTACTGAAGTGTTTTTTTTTTTAAATCACTGTTACGTCCCCTGTAGGGGGCGTGGCATGGGGCCTTTTTTTCCACCTCTTCCCGCAACCACTTTCCTGATGTATCTTTGTTCTCACCAGGCCATCACAGGGCCAATTTAAATGCATTTCTACCGATCTGATATACTGGCATCACGACTTCAAAAACATGTCGAAAGTTTTTTGTTAGGTGAAAACCAGTGAAACATTACTTCCTCTCACACGCGTTGTCCCTTTTTGGTCTTGCCATCAGATGGAGAGGCTTCAGGTGGAGAACGCTGCAGAGTGGGGGCGCAGAGAGCGCCTGGAGACAGATAAGCTGGCCCTGGAGAGGGACAATAAGAAGCTGAAGGCTCAGGTTGAAGACCTGGAGGAGCAGCTGGCAAAGAAACGCCGGCAGGCTGCCTCTGCACTAGACACGGACCTCAAGGCCATCCAGAGCGAGCTGTTTGAGAGAAACAAGGTGGGAGGAAAATTCTTTTTCAAATCTTTTTTTAACATTTTGATTGCAACAATGTGAAATAACATGATGTCTCCTGCCCTGAACCATCACAAGATCAGAACCCTAACCCAGTAAAGTAAAACCAGGGCTCTTAAACATAAGAGAATTTAGAAATGTGAACATCTGGATGTATATTTCTGAGTCTGTCTGCCTCGTCCACAGGAGCTTGGCGACCTCCGCCACGTCCACGCTAAGCTGAAGAAACAATTCCAGGAGAGGACTGCAGAGCTTGCCCACGCTAACCGGAGGGTGGAGAGCCATGATGCCGAGGTCAAAAAGCTGAGGCTGAGAGTGGAGGAACTAAAGAAAGACCTAGGGCTGGCTGAGGATGAGGTAGGCACGGGACTGGACACACACATAGTTAGGAAGGAAGACAGGAACTTCCCGACAGTTGAAATCAATGCAGTAACAAAAGACAGGCTCGCATCCACCTTTACTGGGAGCCAATTATTGTCAGGGGCTTGTTCTGTCTTTAAGGGGGATGTATTTTCATTAGAAACTAGAAGGAAGACTCAAGACTGAGACAAGCAGGATGAGATTTACAAAGCTGTGCAATCAGATATAGAGCACTATGTAAAAGTCTAGAGGAAAAGTTAATCTTCTTGTTATCTTTTTATTCTGCCGTACTTCTCTGATCTTTCCTAGTTTTCTTGTGAAACATGGGCCACGTTCTCACTTTTTTTCACTTCTGTCTTTTCGCTGCTGCTTCTCACATGTTTTTGACAGCAGAAAAGACAAAAAAAACAACCGTTGTCCTCCGCCGTAAATCTGACCATGGCTTGGTGGTGACAGTACATACAGAAAGTGCATCCCTGCATAATGTCCTGAGGGAATAAGAGGGCCCGCTAACATACAAAACCCATCTGTTTTGGCACAGTGGGAAAAATGGGACGTGCTTTTTTTCTCACAAGCTGTGAGAAATAAACGGTATCCGCTGCCGTTTGCAAACAATGAGAAAATCCACGGATTTATCTGTTCTAGACGAGGCTTATTTTTGTGTTTGCAGCTGGACGACTCTCACAACCAGACGAGGAAGCTGCAGAGGTCCCTGGACGAACAGGTGGAGCAGACGGAGAATCTTCAAGTACAGCTGGAGCATTTACAGTCCAGGTGAGAGCGTCATGTGCACCTGTTTCTGATCACAAAGCCTCCATCCAGAGGTTTGAGTTTCGTATGCCGCAGTGGATTTGAAGGACAAACTCTTTTACGGTATACTTTTTCTCATGTCTCTCCCTGTGGGAAAACAATACATAGTTCTTATCTTTTTCGTCCAGGCTTGTGATGCCACTCAGAGGACTTAGCAGCTGTTACTGACCAGCTGACCTGCAGCCTCCCACTTCCCGTTGTTACTCTGAGCCTGCTCCAGCTGTGAATTCCAGCCTCATCTTAATGATTCTTTCTTGTAGACCGTTCTCTGTAGTGTGGCTGTGGCTCAGGGGTAAGGGTCACTCCTGGGTCACTCCCAGGCTGTAACCTTACAGGTGTAAGGTGTCTTTGGGCTGGGACGCAGTCTCAAATATGGGTCATCCTTCTGTGTCCCATTTGTGCCGGGCCAAAGCCGGATAAGCACAAGGACTGCTTCAGGGAGGGCATCCGGTGTAAAAACCTGCCAGAGCCCCCCTGATGGGACCAGCTGAAAGGCTTTCTACCACTACACCTACCTTTTTATTTTAGGCTCATGCATTACAGGGAAAGAAAAACAGTGTTGTGTCAGGCTGATGAACTGTTGTTAAAGGCTAGTCTCAGGCCCTGTACTTGTTCAGAGTAACAAATCATCATCCCTGCCAAAGTTCCAGCCCTGCTCGTGCTTCTTTCTGCTCCCCTCTGTCCTGATTAGACGCCCCGCGTCACTTTGAAGAGGTTTCAGACAGGAAATTACTGTAATGTCTACATTCCTGGTGACGCGATGCGTCATCCGGGCCGGCTGAACGGTCGCCGCCACAAAACAGAAACGCCGGAGGCAAAATATGCGACTGCTGCTGTAATGAAGGAAATACCCAGAACTTCATCTCCCGGAGTCAAAACAATGCTTTGTATCTCATGCCAGGTGGATGTGTGACAAGTATCGAGTATCACCTGTGTCTCTCTCTGTGTGCTGTGTCCCGGCTGTCATTCAGCTTATGGCACCTATAAAAGAAAACAAAATCTGTTCAAAACAGCGACATATACATGAGCAAAAAGGATCCAGAGCCCTGCTCCCGTGCTATCAGCTGGAGTGGCATCATGTGCAGCAGCGGCTCTGCCAAACCGCTTTCAACTGCCCTTATCGGCTGAGTCTGCACGGGAAGTTGACAGCTCACTTGTAGCTCTCAGGCTTTGTGGGAGCCTCAGCGCTGCCGTTTCTCATTAGATGAACTTGTGTTACTTGTGCATTGGCCTGGGCGTGTGTGCCTGTGTGTGTGTGTGTGTGTGTGTGTGTGTGTGTGTGCGAGTGTGTGTGTGTGTGTTGGCTGTCACTCAGCACAGCTCTCGCACCATCTTCTTTGCACGGCCCTAAGCTCCTCGCTCACCGCCTCTCCCACTGTGTCCTCTCTCTCTCTCAAAATTTTCTGCACATTGCTTTCGGGCCCCGGCAGCCAATCGGAGATCCCGGTCCCAGGTTACCGTAGAAACGGAGCTCTCTGCTGGCGCCGCTCTGCAGGAGTGACAGGCGTGGCAGCCTGGTAACGGCCTTGGAAAATGACACAGATCTCGGTGTGTTCCTTAAGAGGGTTTAGCTCACGCTTGTCTACACTTTGATTTTTTTCCCATTCAGTTTCTGAGTGAGTGCTTGAAGGGTGTGCTTGTGTGTTCATGTGCTGAAAGCGAGCATGGTAACAACCCAGCCTTCACTTCGATGGAGGGTTCTGTCACCCTTGTCAGTCCGTTTGTTGTCAGGGCTACATTAGCAAATTCCGAGCTCCAGTCTCTCTGTGCTCTGTGTCATTCTGCTCTGTTCTCTAAGACCAGCAAAACCAAAGGAGGCTGTGGACATTTGCCTGGAAGAAATAAGGTTTTTGTCTCATCATAGTTCTAATCGCGAGCAAGTTTGAAGTGACCGAATCATCGAACATCTGTCAGCTGCGACGAAGCGGTGCTAAAGTTCATATTGAGGTGGCTTTTAGGGTTAATCCAGGCCTAGTCCTGGTCTGGTTTTTTTTTTTTCAGGAGCTGAATAACTTACATAACAAAAAGTATGTAAGTTATCATTCTTTTTCTTCTTCGCAATAATATATATATTTTTTATCAGGGTACTGCTTCTTCCAAGTAGCATCACAGGGCCATTCCCAGCTGAGAATGAGTTAGAGGCGGCTACACCCTGGACAGGTCTCCGGTCAGAGACACACACTCACAGTCACTCCTAGGGGCCCTTTGGAGTCCTATTTTCATCCTTTAGAGTTTTGAAGTGCACCGAAGCTTCATCCAAAGTCAGATCAAGTTATAATGTAGTGCGTTGTTAACTAGTTAGGCACAATATGGAGGTGGGTGTTTCTGGTCATGCTCTTTGTGATCAGCTCCTCAGACGGATGCTCCGGCACACAGGGGTCAGGCCGTGGGCCCCGGTCAGTGTGTCGGACACGAGCCTTCCGCACCGGTCTCACGCTCTGCTCTCCTCACCCCTGTTCTTCTCAGACTGAGACGGCAGCAGCAGAACCCCGGTTTATTCGCCAAGATGCGATCGGCCCGCTTCGGCCCCGAAAACCCCGACGGCCCGAGCAGCGACGCGGACGAGGAGGAGGAAGAGCTGCAGCTCCAGATCCCTTGACACGTGTGCGCGCACACACACACACACAAGCACTAAAAAAGAGAGACAACGGAGCGGTCGCACACACGACGTGAACGCTGTTGCTCATGAGAAGAAATGGGAGGCAACGCCATCCTAACCAGCCAGCAATACGTGCTCCAAAGTCAGACTGAATCCGTAAGTATTACTTTGATAGCGGCTCTGCCCTCAGCGTTGTCAGGTTTATCTACAAAAACGCTAAGAGCGGCTACTGTCAGCCGACCGAGGACGCAAACGCCGAACAACAAGCTGCTTTGTCAAAATCTCCGCTGACTCCTCGAGAGAGCAGCGTGTGTCACTGTCACTCTCCATCATCCACTCAGACGCTGCAGCTTCCCTCCCTGAGCAAAAACTGCCACCACTTGTCAGTTCCATCAGCAGTATTAGTACTTTACCCACTGCTTATGAGGCCTTTTATGCCACTTCGGGGTTCTAAGTGTATATTTTATATAACAAGTCTTAGTAGGATTTAATGTATTGTTATTATGTAAGTATTCTTCAGTATATCCCATGATTCAGAGTCTGTCTCTGTTGTTTTGATGAATAGGTAATGTTGGGAACACATCCCAGATGTGTGCTGCATTCACCAGGAGAGAATTTCCGAAATACTCTGGTGAAATAGGACCGTCGAGTCTGTAAAGCAAAGATCTGCAACTGATGCTGCCAGATAGAATGTTGAACAGGGAGAATTCCTCAGAACGGAAACAAGCACATCAAACTCTCTACTACTTGTCATTCCTAGCTTTTCCCTGCACTTCCCTGGAGCGTTTGCCTTTAACTCTGTGGTCCGCAGGGAGTAGCCGGTTTGGAAAGCCAGTGTCCGTACGGAAATGAAAATGTATATTTTGTGAGCGTCATCAGAGGGCCGAGACCAAAACCCAGGAATCTTTTAGAGAAGTAACACAAATAAGGGCAAACGAGCAAAAATACGTTAAATAAGACGGCATCCTGAGTGACTGCTCATTGTTTTTAAGTAGCTTTCTTATCCGTAAAGGTTCTGACCCACCAGCAGCAAAGAGGGACTGGACCCGCCACAGATGAAGCAATGTTCCAGATTTAGGCCTAAACTAATTGCCGATGGGAATTTCCAATTCTGTCAATTGTGATCCTGAAGTTGTGTTGACGGACAGACGGGTTCAAACTCGTATTGTCTTCATAACCTGTCAGAAAGATGGAACAAAGCAGAGTTTAAAAGCTGAGACTGGCTTCAGCGTGTTTGTTTTTGGAGTCCCACGCACACGTCTGTATGTATAAGTCTGTTTGCGTACAATCTTTACCTTTAGCTCAGCATCACTGTACTCTTAGTGTGGGCAGACTCCATCTAAATTAACCTGAACAGCACATGATAACGGCAACATTATAGCACCGTGTCCTCCTGTGGTCAGAGACTGGCTAACAGCTGCGGTGGCACATACAGGTCACTTCAGGACGGCCTTATTGGCTCTACGTAGGACTGCGTCAGGCCCAGCAATCTGGAACACTGTAATCTTTGGCTCTCAGGGTACACTGTCGGGACAATATGTAGCATGTCTGGTGTTTTCCATTCGGAGGACGGCAGGCGTTGGAGTGGCCTCTTCGATTAGTGGGAAATAAATAACTAAATAACCATAGACAGTATAGCGTGTTCCGAGCAAGACCTGGACTTAGGGACAGTTAAGAGAGTGTGACATTTACATAGAGATGGTGGATATGAGCTGAGGAGGATTCGCACATTAGGACGAACGGCACTGAAACCGGGTTCTGCTCCTTGGAGGGTTTCAGAAACAACCTGGACCAAATCTGTCAAATTACTTATGGGTTCTTTATTTTTTGTTGTCAAATTCAGAAAGTTTTACGTACATCTGGATTTCTTTTATACGCTCACTCTTCAGGAAACAGCCCTTTGTTCTACGTCCATTCTAAGCCCTGAAGAGATGTGGACCGTCCTCAGTCCATCCATCTATCCATCGGCCACACCGCTAATTCCAAGCAGGGTGACGGTTCCTGCCAGTTCCCCAGTAGTGTTAGTTATATTTGAAATATTCAAATGGCGTTCACAATGTAGACCGGTCTTACAACGTGAGTCCATGGACAGCAGAGCAGAAAAAATTAGACGGGCAACGTTTCAGTATTCGGCTTTTCTACATTCCAATAATGCATATTATACAGACCTTACTGCTACTTTAATTAAGTCCCTGTCCCTTTAATTTCCATCCAACCAAAGAGGAATAATGTGTTGTGTTAATGGGCAGAAATAAACCACGCAGCAGCCAGCTCTGTGGCTTATTAGCTCCCATCAGGAGTCATGTGTTCAGTGCCCCCTCTTTCCCGTGCTGGAGCCATGATGGACTCCGTTTGGAATGTGTGACCCAGCTAAACACCTCTTCCGAGCCATGTCATCAGTCCGCCCCGCCACGACATCAAAGCCTGTCTCGTTCGGGTGCCTCTGCCCACCGTCTGGGCCTAAAAAACGCCGTCCCGGAGCAGAAACGTGCTTCAACGGGAGCAAACGCCGAACTCCTGACCCCTCTCTATGAGCAGGTTTGTTCACATTGGAAATTCTGGCTTTCATTTTGAATGTGTCACTCGCTAGAGACAAATGTACAGGGTCCAGACGTGTTTACGTGTTTATACCAGTCTGTTATGTTGTCTAATATTTGACACGTTCTAGGGGGCAAAAAAATAACTAAGGTTTTATATATTGTTAATTCCAAGGACCCAGTTTGCCTATTCCCGTTAAAAAGCTGCCAAATAACCTTTTCGAGAATGAAACGCAAAGTTAGGAGCCGTCAGGTAACATTCTGGAGTTTTAACGAGACTCCTTGAAAGTAGGAGGATGTTTTGGGCTCCCTGGGTATTAGCCTGCGACAGGCCTCCACCCTAACAGTTGACAGATGCGACTGTAAACCCTCCATTTTATCGTGCAGTCACTCACAGCTGCTCTGCCTGGGCTATAACTATATCGCTGGAAGGGGACCAACAATTTTTTTTAACCGATCAGGATTCTGTGTCATTACTATTTATGTCGTAGCTATGGTGGAGTTTTTCTAAATGATCTGTATCACAGTGGTTTTGTAATGCTTTATAAATGTCATCTGTACATTAAAAAAAAAAGAACCAGGAGTCTTTTCTTTTTTCTTCAGACTGTACAGATTCATCTGGGTTTTTTAAGAAGGTTTTCTGAGTCTTCAAAGGAAACGTTTCTCATGAATCTTCCCTTATTGGTGGAACTGCCCCCTCACATGTGGAGTGGTTTGAGTGTCCTTGGACTGGAACAGCTGTTTGTAGCTGGTTAGATTTGTACAAAAACAGAAACATAACACTTTTGTGTTCACTCCCATTTTTCATGAAATGAACTCAAAAGATCTAAAACATTTTCTAAATACACAAAATAACAATTTCTCACAAATATTGTGCACAAATGGCAGTATGCAAGAAAGGGCTGATCTCCTTTTTAATAAAAAACAGCACTGATTTGATGGAATTTTCTTTAATTTCTTTTATATATTTTATACATTTATATATTAAGTATATATTTTATTTGCTCCTACTGTCTGGACTTTATTAAAATATAATTTGATCATATCAATAAAGTGCGCACTGATTCTACCTAAAGCTGAAAGAAAAGTACCATAAAAAAGAAGCTAGTCCTAAACAAGAGCTACTTGGCTTCTAATTTCTTATTTTATAGTATGTTTAAATATGATCGTTGTGGGATGATGTAATCGGTGGCATAATGATGATCCCTTTGTTCAGGACACGGCTTTATGTGGAGTCTCAGGCCGAAGTGAGCGCTCCGTACGATGCCTTCGGGGTAAAACTAAACGCGAAACTCCCAGACGCTCCAGCTGCTAGTGGAGGATGATGCTGTGTGTGTTATTATTCAGCAACACCCCACGAGTGCCATAAACATTGAATAATTTAGAAATGTATCAAAGCATAAAAATGAGAACACTTTATTGTTCCTCAGGGGGGCATTACAGACACACCCATTCAAGGACCATGAAAAGGGATAGAATGTAGAAATAAGTAAAAGATGCTGTTATCAATATAATATAATATAATATAATATATATATATACTGTATATAGAGCCAGTGATCTGTTAGAAAAAGGTTGATATGTCACGTTGAACTATAGAAAGTATTCAGGATAATACATAACTGATCAGTCACAGTCCCAAGTTAAATAAAAAAGGTAATTATTGAATCACATTTGATGAGCAATAGTTGAATCTGAATCTGTAGACGACTGAAATGATAGAAACTGACCTTTAGTCATTGTTATCTCTGTGAAACCATCCGGTTTTGGTCCGGTAGGAATGCTGGGGGACATTCTACAGTATGTAAATGCAGTTATGCATTAAATCAGTCTGTTACAGTAGTATTAGAGTTCGTTCCCGACATTGGGAGAGCTTGCTCTGCGCACACCGCAGCAGGCAGGAAAAGTTAGTCCTGAATATCTCAATCGACTTTAAAAGAGAAATATTCCCTATTATCTCTCGCGTGGAAGCGACAGGCTGTCTAGTCTCACTGGCGGTAATTACAGAGCCTGTCACTTGGCTGTGCAAACCAATTATTAGTATACACACACATATACATGCACACAGTTGCTTCCCTGTACTTACTGCAGCCTGCTACTGACACCGGTGAATTTCCGAACAGGCACCACGAAACGTCCTGTTCTAAAACGGACCCCGAGCCAAAGGTCAGCTTAAAAAAGGCCACTAAAAGACCAAAAGAAGAAAAGAAAAGCTAAATGACTTCAGCGGTCATTTAGCGCAGATTTTATTGGACCAACAGCACACAGATTGATGTTTCCAAGAAAAAACAAAAACTTCCACCTCTAATTGTTCCGTCCAGTGTGCAATGGGACACTAAGTCTGGAGTCTGTCTGATAAATGCATGTGTCCGGCACATTAGAACATGGATATCTTTCCTCTCATACTTATTTGCCAGACATTAAAAAATAATAGCCCGTAGAGAATGCTTTGAAATAATCACATTACTGGAATAGATGGAAACTGAGGAAACATTTATCCCAAACATAATAAAAAATCTAATTACCTAAGACAACTAAGGCGATCAATTATTCATTCATGGAACATTTGCAATCACTTTCATTCCCTTTAAATAATTCAAAAGAAAGTCATTCTTCGGTAAATGTACGCTGAAAGGCTGCAGAAAAGTGCTGGTTTTTATATTAAGAGCAGGGTGATTAGGGTAATGGGACTTTTTCTGACCCCCACATGGGACAGGTGATCCTTCATGCATGTGCAACATTACAGACACTGGATGCATATTTTTTAGACAACGAACTAATTTACGTTTTAGTCTGAAACAGAACTAAGGCACCACAGAATGTGACTTTTAAGTTTACTTTGAACATAAATTAATTTATGTTCAGAGTTAATGAGAGATCAAGTTAAGTTACCAGTTTGAACTTTTGTCTATATTTAAGGTATACAGATTCTCACCTAAATGCTCTGAAATCACCTGCTATTACTCCAGTAATACATTTGATTTCCATCTTGTATTTTTAAGTGCAACGGCAATATTTTTACACCTCCCTGGTTGAGTTCCTGCGCTTCCTTTATGATAGTCACACTTGCTAATGAGAAGTGTCTCAGTCTTGCAATGGTGCAATAAATCAATCAGTTAGGAGTCATTTTAAGCCATAAAACTACACCGTCACGTATTCTATGGGCTCTGTTTCAGTGTCTAGAAATGTGTGGCCCTGGAGCCCAGTTACGGGGCTTGTCACCTGCTGTGACTCAGAGCAAGTCTAAATCAGAACACTGACGGCAACTTCTGTCCATTTCCTGAATTCTCCCGATCAGCTCGGGGTCGCAGTGGAGCTGGTGCTTCTCCCAGCTGCCGTAGGGATTGACGGGCTCTGCCCTCAGCAGGTAGCTACTGGTCAGTCACTGTGCCGCTGGCACTAAAAACTGGAAGAAAAAAACATACAGATTAAATAAGAATGTGTGAAATGGCAAATCCAGTGTTCCCTGGTGGTTTCTCATTCTCCAACCCTTTGTTCCTAATAAAGTCTGTTGAATTTAAAAGAATTGAACATCTTAACCCTATAATGCCATATGTGTCATATTTGCTTCATACGGTTTCTGGAGTTTTTTGGATCTGACACTTTTTGCATCATTCAGTGTTAAAATCTTTCCTCAAACCCCTGTTATACACATTCAGATATACCTGATAACAGCCAGTAGAAGACTACACTCAAATATATTTTTTACTTATTGCACGCCAATTTGATCAAAATAATTTCAGTTTTTTTTTCTTCATATGTTGTTGAGGGGCCAAAGAAAGACTTCAGACTAAAAAAATCCAATATTCTTCCTATTTTTCTTGGATCAGGCTTTAAAGAGTTAAAAGGGTCCTAGCTGGTAGATCTCGAGGATGGTAAAAGCCCTCTCTTACCATCATCTCTCAGCTCAGGGAGCATCAGACCCTTCTCTTCTCCAGAGGGTATTGACTTCTTCTTTCGGAAGACAAGAAGCTGAGACCATTTAAGACTTTGCAGACTCAATAAAAGCCACTATCAGAAAGTCTACACCCATTACCACTGATTCAAACTTAAACAAGGACCCACTGTCTTCCTGCCAAATACAAGACTTGAGTCAGGAATTAGAGGCAGTCCTCTTTACCCCTCTGCTACTTAGTGTCCAATTATCCTACAACCTACAGTACCTACCATGGACTGAATACAACGTTTTAACCCCACCAGGAACTTCTAGTTGTGTTGGACCTGTTCGTGTAGGGGTTTCTTTCTGGAACATCCATCCATCCCACACTTCTTGATCAGTCCATTGTGTCCTTCAGTTCTTAGTGTATCAGGGGCCCAGTCCTGGAGAGTCCTGGTCCTGCAGGGTCCTGGTCCTTCAGGGGCCTGGTCCTACTTAAGGATTAAACACATTAACAATTGTTGTACATTCTCAGGGTTGTTGTGGGTTTAAAAAAATTACCGCAATGGACCTGCTTGCCTGTCCATGGCATAACCAGTCAGAATGATACAAAAGTGAGTGGACACACACACTGAGTTCTTTGTTTGAGCTTTGTTTTCCCAGTATGGTCATCTCTGTTTTACCATCCAGCTACAATGGAAATCTACAGTTCTAGAGAACACAGAGCTGTAGAATGAAAGCTTTATTCAAATCATCCTGGCTGTTTTGTTTTTTTAAGGTTGCTACGATCTCTGCCCACCACAACTCCAGAGGTGTCCGGAGGCCTCTCAGAAGTGTGTGCGAGGGTTGTGTGGGCAGCAGGACAATGGGTCAGCGGAGCTTCCAATGCACAGAACGGCAATCCAACCCTGGCCGTGTGATTACAGCAGGGCCAAACACAGACGGACACACACACACACACAGTCACACGCACAATTTATGTGATGCACTTTGGGGGTAAAGTCATGTTCGCGTTTTGCCAAACAAGCCGCTCAAAGAAGTACGAGCATCATCACAGACTCCGAGTGAAAAGAAGCAGTGTCTGGGTTGGACTTCACAAGCTGTTTGATATTCGAAACGAATGATGCTAAGAAAAGCTTACTTATGATACCGTCTTTGGTTAGCACTGTTGCCTCACCGCAAGAAGGTTCTGGGTTCGAGTCCCGGGGGGACCCAGGACCCTTCTGGGTGGAGTTTGCATGTCCTCCCTGTGTCTGCTTGGGTTCTCTCCGGGTTCTCCGGCCTCCTCCCACCGTCCAAAAACCTGCATGTTAGGTTGATTGGACATTCCAAACTACCCATAGGAGTGAATGTGATTATGCGTGGTTGTTGGTCCTTGTGTGTCTCTGTGTGGCCCTGCGATGGACTGGCGGGCTGTCCAGGGTGTACCCCGCCTCTTGCCCATTGACCACTGGGATGGGCTCCAGTTCTCCCCGCGACCCCATTAGGGACCAAGCAGTAGCGATAATGGATGGATGGATGGATGGATGGATGATACCTCAGATGTCTCCAGTTGCTGTCCTAGCAGTAGCTTTGACTCTAGTTTTTAGCGTTTTTCTTCTTCCCCTTTTATTCATCCACCCTTCTGAGCAACACACAAATGACCGGAAGACTCACCCGCCATGCAGGGGACTTGGTTCACAAGGTTTTCTGTGATCTTCCAGTTTCCGGACTCATTTGAACGCATCACCCTCCTAATATATTTTTGCCGCTCAGATATCTCCAACTGACACAGTTGCAGTGGTTTAAGTATGAGTGTGTAAACACTTTAGTTAGAA